TGGACACTACCGATGTTGCTGCAATCAGAGTGGCTGTAACAATGTGTCACTGATATATTTTGAGCCACCCAGTACTACCAGTATTATCAGTGCCTCTAGCAGCTCTCCTTATGTGACTTCTACTTTTTTACTTCTACAAGAAAATGGTAAGATTCGTATAAGGCTATTTATGTACATGTATAATATTATATATTATACATGTTTCTCTAATTTTTAATGCTGATAACAGGGAGATTTTATTATATTGGTCATAGCATGGTTTATTAGTCATAGTATTGTCTACAAGAATACTCACTTGGTCAAGCACTGCATTTAATCAGGACTCAGTTTCCCACAAGGCATGTTAAAGCATGCATGCTTCATGAACGGACAAGTATGAAGCAACTTTAAAAATTTGTGAAAAATCCAATCTTGATCAGAATGAGCTTAAACTTTCTACACAACATAAAAAATGTATGTGTATCGGAAAAAATATAAAAATTGAGAATTCTCTCTTAGTCATTTTCGGCAAAATTTGGCCAAATACCCTGTACTATAGTATAGGGACTTTGGCCCGATTTTGGAGCAACTTTAAAAATTCATAAAAAATCCAATTTTGATCATAATGAGCTCAAACTTTCTACATAACATAAAAACGTGTGTGCATCGGAAAAAAATATAAAAATTGAGAATTCTCTCCTAGTCATTTTCGGCGAAATTTGGCCAAATACCCTGTACTATAGTACAGGGACTTTGGCCCGATTTTGGAGCAACTTTTAAAATTCATAAAAAATCCAATCTTGATCGGAATGAGCTCAAACTTTCTACAAAACATAATATCATGTATGTATATCAGGAAAAATTATAAAAATAGAGAATTCTGTACTTTTCATTTTTGGCGAGATTTGGCCAAAGTCCCTTTGTCATAGTCTGTAGTAGTATTATTGTGTTTTTTGTCAGGCCATACAGTCACTGTTGGGTTCTGGTCAGCCATTGGTTCTTTATCGATGATAATTATTGGAATTGTGTGTGCCTTATGGATTACCATTGCTTTCAAATGGAAGACGACTAGAAGCAAGTATCGGAAGGCTATAGACTATAGCCTATCACTGGATAACTCTAATTCTACACTTATCTATTCCCATCAAATTGTAACTGTCCGCAAAGCAGAAAATAACCGAATAATTGCCGTGTATAAAAGCACAGTCTCAGCCCTCTCTCAATGGAAAATAGAAAGGGACATTTATCTTACTCCTGAGTTACGTCACGAGAGTATCTTAACACTTTTGAGGGCCAAGAGAGTGAAAGATATCGGATATCAGTTGGTACTAAAAGGAAGCATCACTGGTTCTTTGTACCAATACCTACAGTCGCACTCGCCTGATGAATTAGAGGCAGCAAAGATCACTCATTCCATGTCATCTGGTCTGGCTCATTTGCATTACATGGAATCCAGTCAGTCACATTCTAAGTATAGAGTTATCACAATTGCTCACTGTAACATCAACTCTCATAACATACTGATGAAGGAGGATGGGACTGTTTTTCTAAGTGATTTCAGTAGATCGGTCAAGTTCAATGGAGGAATCATTGCAGTTGGTCGGGACAGTGAAGTATAGCTTATTTTTTATTTTATTTATGTTGTATATTTTTTATTGATAGCTTGTAGGTAATAATATTAGGTATTTGTCTCCCAGAGGTGTTGCAAGGGTTTCAATCCTTTACTATTACTTCTTTGACTAATTCCGACATTTATTCATTAGGATTGTGCATATGGGAAGTGTTGAACTGCTGTCAAAGTAAGCAGAAAAATAACATAAAATGAAAATATTGATATTTTTTTACTCTTTTAATTTTATGCTTTATAGTTACTGGTAATAGCTACACTCCTCCTTTTCATGAAGTGTCAGACAGTGACATATCAATGGATATCATGAGATCAATGATAGTAGAGCAAGGGATAGTACCAGCACTACCTGCAGTCTTTGATGAGATAAAGGTACAAGCATGTAATGGCAGCAGTATTTAACCACATTTATTTTGTAGGAATTTTCTTCTGTTCGAAACACTGTTAGTGAATGCTTTGATTTAGAGCCGGAAGCAAGACCAAACTCGCACATACTCAAGAACTTGTTTTCTAAGCTCCTTCATGATCTCCTTGAAAAAAAATCATCTTCCCCAATTGTAGAAGAAGAGGAACTTGAAGCATTTACTGGAACTGAGCAAACAGAAGAACTTCCTTCAAGTGAAGTAGTGCTACCACTGACACAGCATTCTCAAACAGGTACAATGTCCCCTGGCCACGTTATTATTGCTGAAACGCATTTATGACACTGTTACACTAATACTTGTGTTATCATTTCTCATTTAACATCATATTGATTATTTTGCTTAACATTTATCATGTTAATATTGCGTTCTTTAATCCAAAGGAGTTATTTTAATTCATCTTGCTTTGTGTACGTGCACAATACGTGTGAATGCAAAATGTTAGACACTACAAAATTTTATCATCAATCAAATGACTAGGCACATGCTACTTAATGTAAAGTTCCACAATATCAATTGGAGTGTCTTCTACAGTAGTCTCCCTATTGCTGCACAGTCTTAGTTCGATATCATCACTGGTTTGTGTATCCAGTGATCGATAGAACCAAGGCATTATAGAGTTAGCTGGACAACAAGGAGCTTCTCTATCATCACATTGCTCCCCATCCCACAAAGGATCCATGGGATAAAGAACGTTAGCCTCTGGTTGACCAGGATCCCGTGCAGACTCACAATAATAAGAAGATCCTATGAATGTTGATGGAGGATTACGTGAAGAGCCTCCTGCGTAGCCATTGACGCATGGACAACCATTATAATCCCTCTCACTTTCCTGTGGCCCTCCGATAAATGTCCAGATGTGTTTACGAGGATTTTTTCCATAAGTAAGGGACAAGCCGTCGACATAATAGCTGTCTATACCTTGCGAAATATCTCTTAGTGCATCAGGATGACCAAATTGATATCCTCTGATTTGCCCGCAGATTTTACTGTATGCTATCCCGTGAGATGGAAAATTAGTTGGAGTGCAACTAGGACTGTTGCTATCCTGTCTACCGCATACTGGATGATCAATATTATCGTAGTTCCTTTCTTGTAGGCCACTAGGGCAGTTAGCACCAAACTCTGTCATATTGAGGTACCCTACTCTGGTCCAACCACCTTTGTTATCGCAGTTAGCAAGACCCTCCATATCACAGTATACCTAGTGCATCCAATGCATCCAAGATCACTCATTGGAATGTTTATACTAACCTCCACTGGAGTCCTCCCCTCAGGATAAATAGTGTAGCTGTCACTAACAGTACTCCCTTTCTCATACCAAGCCTTGCAGTCTCTTAATTCTACAAATTATAATTAATTTTGTGGACAAATTTGATCTTACCTGAGCAAGATTTTGAATATACCCGTGGACAAAGGATGTATCTTGTTATGTCATCTCCTTCAATAGTGAGAGTCCTTCCTAAGTTCCTTGTATTGCAGCACACTCTTAGATACAGAGACAATGACTCATTCCTTGTCATGCAGTCAGTTGACATACACTGAGCAAAAGCTGATTTGCTACAAACATGAAGAAACAAAAGCAACAGCAGAAAGACATTCATCCCTTCTTCACTAGTCTGGGCCTACTAATAGCTGACTACCGTTATGTTGCATTTTTTATGTAAGAGGAGTAAGAAAGCATGCAGTGTCAGCATCCTGGTAGAATCCTTTTATATGATGTATTCAATAGAATAAAGCCATGTATCTTTGTAATGCAATCGAGGTGCTTTATTCATTGGCAGTGAATTGGTGCTATGTTACCATTATATTTACTACAGGAAAGAATGTATTTCCTCCTGCATGCACGTACACACAAAGACAGGACATACCGTATGCCATGAAATTTTATGCAATAAAAAAATTTGCAAATCCTGCATTTCTAAGATTTCATAGAATAAATTTTTGCAAATAGCTTGCAAACTGCACCACATGGCATGGAGTTGCAGAGTTAAAAATTTTTTGTCGCATAAATTTCATGGTATATACAGTAGTTTCATATTTGCATGAAATTGTTTGCTGACATTAATCAATAGGAACAAATCCTCTTTGTATAAGTATGTTTCTGTATGCATATAATGGATTGTTTGGACTTGCATAGGCCAGTGGTCAAAAATATTTCATTTTGTATATAGTTTAATAATGTCAATTGGAGTTTTTTCACTGGTATAATATGTGTCAGAACACACTCTCAGTTCAATATCATTGCTGGTTTGTGTACACAGTGATTGATAGAACCAAGGCATCTTATACCGTCTGTCTGGAAATTTTTACTGTGATTTTAATTTTACTGCATTAGAATTTCGCAAAAAATTAGATTACCCATATAATTACATGCCATATTCAATAATACATAACAGATAAATTTTAGTAAAAATTAAATCACAGCACAAGTTTAAAACTCAAAAATTTTGTACCGCACTAATTTCCTGATCTACGGTAATCAGCTAGACAACAAGGAGCTTCTTTATGGTAGCTTGTAGGTAATAATATTAGGTATTTGTCTCCCAAGGTGTTGCAAGGATTTCAATCATTTACTATTACTTCTTTGACTAGTTCCGACGTTTATTCATTAGGATTATGCATTTTGGAAGTGTTAAAGAAGTAATAGTAAATGATTGAAACCCTTGCAACACCTCAGGAGGCAAATACCTAATATTAACATCATTGATTTTTTATGTAAGAGGAGTAAGAAGGCATGCAGTGTCAGCATCCTGGTAGAATCCTTTTATATAATGTATTCAATAGAATTAAGCCTTGTATGGGTGTTCTTTGTAATACAATCAAAGTGTATTATTTATTGGCAGTGAATTCAGTAGTGGTGCTATGTTACCATACAAGAATAAATCTGTTTCCTCCTCCTGCATGTACACACAAAGACAGGACATAACTCATATATTTGCATGATTCCATTGTTTGTTGACATTAATTACTCAAATGAATCCTTTCTGTAAGTATGTTTTCTGTATGCATAGGCTATACCAAGAGTAGATGATAGTTATCATCTACTCTTGGATATACTAATAATGGATTGTTTGGAATGCATATGACAGGGGCCAAAAATACTTCATTTTATATATAGTTCAATCATATCAAGTGGAGTTTCTTCCCAGGTTTGAGTTTCATCAGAACACACTCTTAGTTCAATATCATCACTTGTTTGTGTATTCAGTGATCGATAGAACAAAGGCATCTTAGAGTTAGCTGGACAACAAGGAGCTTCTCTATCATCACATTGCTCCCCATCCCACAAAGGATCGTCAGGGAAAAAGACGTTAGCTACTTGACCAGGATTGCCAGACTCGCAGTAATAATGAGACCCAATAAATGTTGAAGTACGATCAGTGCTTCCAGTGTAGCCAGTGTTGCATGGGCACCCAATGGACCCGGTTGAATTTTCGCTATTTCCTCCTATGTATGTCCATATGTGTTTGTCCCACGTGTTATAGAAACACCATCAACATAATGTCCCTCTATACCAAGAGGGGGTGACCCAAGTGTCGTGGGACAGGTAGCACCAGGCTGGGTCATATTCAGATAGCCAATTCTAGTCCAACCACCTTCACCATCACATTGACTCCCTTTCATATCACAAATATACCTGTGTGGTTGTGAAAAGAGTAGAATGAGCTACAGTAAATATCCTTATGATACCTCTGATTTTGTTCCATCAGAAACAGTGTAGACTCCATTAAAAATAAATCCCACTTCTGAGTAACTTTTACAATCTTTTAAAGCTACAGATTAAAGAAATTATAACATATATCCTATGACTCAAGACTAATTACTTGGACAAGACTTTGGCTGTGCTTTAGGACAGAGAATGTAACTACTTTTACCACTTCTTTCAGTATGAACAGTTTTCCCCAAGTTACTAACGATGCAACAGACTTTTAGATATAAGGAAAAGGATCCGGAGGAACTGGTTGTGTTTGCAGGACATCCATTAGAAATGTCTTGAGCTAGGCTACCACCAAGCAATAGCACCAGTAGATTTAATGTGAATTTCATCTTCTTTTGTGGCTGTTGGCAGGGTTTAAACATGAAGCTGTGTAATAATTGAGTAAAAACATGTAGCATGTATGTGAACACCAGGTCATGGCTTCAGAATCTAACATTTAAATTCACTCCAAATCACCGAGAGGTGTGGCTGCACACATGGCAAATTTAGGTCTCCACTGTGTTTGTCTCCTTTTTCTCTTGTTGCCACTTTCATCTTCCCTTCTCATTTGTTGTACAGATCATTGTCCATATGATGACACTTCATATTGTTACAAGGCGTGTCCACCTTCCAGCAACTCTTGTGTTCGTGATATACACTATACACATCCTCCAGCAAGAGTTGTTATTGACAAAATTGGTTGCAGCAATGTTACATGTGATACCACAGGCCCTGTTTGTATCGTAAATGCTGCTAAAAGAACTCAGCATTGCTGTTGTACTGATGATCGCTGTATTAATCCTGTGGGTAGAGCTAATGTGGCACTAGTTGAGTTAATGAAGCCAAAATTCAGCTATCATTTAAGTCCTCCAAATGAGCCAGTACCAAGTACTGAACCAGGTTAGATCTAGTAATACTGTTACTGTTTTATTAAAATGCTTTGTTGAATGAGGGGCAATAATTTTTTTTAGGTATATTAGTGTGTGACCATTACAACTGCAGTGGTACTGATAAGTGTCAGCATTATTATGAAATGTGTGACTGTAGCATAAATGAGAGGTGCTCCTGTCAATCTTTATATAGAGAAAATTCCACTACCAATAAAATTGACATTTATTATAAAGGTTGCTCAGTAGCAAACACTTCTGCTACAACTCCTGATTGCATTATTGATGTACCATTCAGTGGAGCATTAAAGAATGAATACACATGCTACTGTAATGAGAGCCTTTGTAATGTCAATGAATCCATTACTCACCCAACTAGACTGAGCAGTTACGGTAAGTAAAGGTACAACTAATGATGAATAATGGTACATGAACCTTTAGGATTTAAAGAGTGTCTCTCTTATAACTGTGAGTACAACTGTAACATAGTTAACAACGCAAATATTAGCTGCTCGTGTCCTGCTGGATTTATAGCAACTGGTTTAAAAAACTGCAGTGGTAAGGCTTATAGCTACTTGACATGTACTCAAAGAGACTGCCCTCTATGATAACCTCAACACAAACATTATGATTAGCCCAAGCAATACAAATGTACATAGAAAGTATGTATGAAAACACCTATATCTTATCAGTGGCAAGATAACCCTTCACATGCTATCTCTCACTATGAATTCTCCAGCCTTTGGGGTGGCTTACTGCACTGTATATATCACTACTGACGATATTTTTTGTAGATGTGAATGAGTGCTCGGTTGATAATGGTGGCTGTCAGCAGACATGTGTAAATACTATAGGAAGCTATTACTGTGAATGTTTTGATGGATACTTGTTAGATGCTAAGACTTCATTATGCTTTTGTAAGTTTACCTAAAACTTGAATTACATACCGGGGTATGCATTGTTTCTGTATTGTATTTAACACTTCTCTTTTTTACTTGCAGACAAATCCAGTACATTTTACTGTTCCTATTACGTTGATCCTGATATCAAGCTAAATGAAATTGATAACAATACAAGGATTGGATCAGTTAATTGTGTAAGTCTTGTCTAATCAGTTGCAGAGTCTATTTTTATCATTATTTTTTGTAGGATAACACACGATCTTGTTATACTAGTCTTTCTTACAGGAATGAGGAGTGGTATCTTAGTGCAATGACTTGTGGTCTACCAATAGGTTTTCCCATTAATTCATTTTATTTGTACCATTAACTTAATCTGCTGTTAAATTATTTGCATACATCTATGTACTCTGGAAATTTTGACTATGATTTAGCTTTTAACGTATTGCTTTATTGCTATAGGGACACCTCTCGACCCATTCCCTTGTAACAGTTCTTATTGTTTGCTCCAAAAGGATGCAAAGAGCCAAAGGTTGCACCAGTGTTGCTGTAATGAAATAGACTGCAACAATCTATCACGGATTTCTTTTGATCCTTTCACTTCTTCATTAGCCAGTATCAGCAGCAGCAGTGCTATTGTTGTAGGTGAGTCCCAGTACTTGTATGATCATTGATTTGATTAATTTTTTTTTCTTTTTTGTCATACATGCAGCCAGTATCAGTACCATTAGTAGCAGCAGTCTACTTTCTGTAGGTAAGTCCAAATGTTTATGTGATTATTGATCTGATCAAACCTCCACTTTCTTCATCATTAGCCAGTATCAGTTTTACCACCAGCTCGAGTCAACAGTATGTGGTTCCCACAGTTGTTGCAGGTAAGTTATATAGTTTTTGTATTTGATTGCAATTTATGATGCTATGCTATTATCTGATATCTCATTCTTCATTTCTTTACAGGGTATGAGCCATTAGTTAGTGGAGTCGTCTCATTGATACTTGGTTCCATTTTCTTTCTCATAGCTCTATTGTTACTATTTTTAATGGGATTCGTTGCTGCTGCTCTGATTTGGAAGAATAAAATTAAGAAGAAGCAAAATAGAGCTACTATGCCTACACAGGAACTTCAAACCAATACAATTGAACCCAATAAAGCTGTTGTCTATGAAACAACATTATAATTAAATTTTTTGTATAATTATTTTTGTATAAACCAGCATAGCATGGCTGCATGCATGGGTGCCTATTGGGTGGTACCATAAATATGGTGGAAAGAAACAAATGCAAATAACTGATGGCTTCGTTGCAAAAAGTCACAAGTAAGGAAGAGAAAGTTCTAACTTTAATCTTTATTTATTTATACAGATAGAGATAAGTACAGAAAGAAGAAAAGGTCTGCTGGCCATGAACAAGTAAAGGACACCAACCCAGTGATATCAGACACTCCTCTATCTCTTGCCTCCTCCTCCTCTTCTTCTCCTGTTCCAAGAGAATCTCTCTATCACACACAAACTGGTCAATCAATGTCTCGATATCGTGTTACCCGAAATAAAGAGAAGAAGGAAAAGGCTCTCTCTTCGTCCCCTCCCTGGAAGCCTGTCATGAAGACTCACTACTCACACTCTGATGTACCTTATCTCGACTCTCCTCCTCCTCCTCCTCTCTCTTCTTCTAGAGATACAGTCTCACCCAATACAAGGAAGAAAGCAAAACTTGGTACATCTCGTAATTTGCCTCAAGGAGAGAAAAAGGAAGAAGAGGGAGCTAAGCCTCAAGAATTGGAACAATATTCTCAAGATTTGACTTTGTTAAGACCTGGTCTGGATCATACTGACTTTGAGCACATTAGACCCTCTCCTAGCACTCAAAAGATGCTTCGGTACACAAAAATGCTAATAAAGAATTATATTCATTTTACTTTTTCCCTCACAGACAAACAATGGCTGAGAATAATGCTTCTATCAGGCAGCGAATTGAAGAGAGGTATGAGCATGTGTTCAACATGTGCTAAGCACATGTTCATGTATATTTGTGTTTTATTTAATAGTCGCCAAGAGGAGATATATTTGGATTTCTTGTCATCGATAACTAAGGAAGTTCTTGCAAGAGGTGTGTACACTCAGTCTGACTTGGAGTCAGTTTTTCAAAAGCACGTGACCAATAACAAGCAAAGACTCCGTGAGGTATAATAATTATTGTAATGATAAGTGTGGGTTACTGTATATTTGATATAAAAAATTTTTATAGTTTAAAAAAGGGCATATATTTCATGTCTAAATTTTTGGTGCACTATTTTAAGCAATACTTTGTCGTTTTACTAAAGTTCTGGTGATTGTTTTTTTTCTATTTAGGATTTAATGTGGACTAACATTGATTGGCTTCGGAGAAAAATATTAGAAAAAAACATTTCACATTAATTGTGATGCATGCTTACATCGCTTACCATCTATGTCTTCATTCATCACTTATGACTCGTGATCCACATCTTGTAATCATAATTTTGATAAAATATTGATACTGGTACCTATTTTGTATAGCACATTATAGGGTAAATTGTGATGGCCATAACTCAAAATTTGAGCTCCGAATCAGCTCAAACTTTCTATATAGCATAAGGACATCAAAATGCATCAGAAAGTATAATAAAAATTGGGGGTGATTTCGGAGTCATTTTTTGAAAAAAACCATGGGCTATAGTACAGGGTATTTTTTAGATTTTGGCCGATTTCTTTAAATGGCCATAACTCAAAATTCTTTTGTCGGAATCAGCTCAAACTTTCTATATAGCATAAGGACATCAATATACATCAGAAAATATAATAAAAATTGGGTGTGATTTCGGAGCCATTTTTTGAAAAAAACCATGGGCTATAATAGTACAGGGATTTTTTCAGAAATTGGCCTATTTTTTAAAATGGTCATAACTCAAAAATTTTTTGTTGGTATCAGCTCAAACTTTCTACATAGCATAAGGACATCAATATACATCAGAAAATATAATAAAAATTGGGGGTGATTTCGGAGCCATTTTTTGGGAAAAAGCATGGGCTATAGTACAGGGAATTTTTCCAGATTTTGGCCCATTTCTTTAAATGGCCATAACTCAACAATTTGATCTTTGAATCAACTCAAACTTTTTACATAGCATAAGCATCAGAAAATATAATAAATTATGGGCATTTTTATAACAGTTATCATAGTTATGAATTGCTATTAATCACAGTGAGAATGTTCTGTATAAATCTATAATATCAAACAATACTTGTCTATAACAAATCTAGACTTATTGTGATTATCATAAAATGATTAAGAGGGAGAAAAAGAAAGGAAGAGAGAACATACATATAATAATAACAACAATAATAATATTAATATATACATGTAAACATGTCAAATGCTACACAAAGTAGGGCAGAAGGAAGAAAATAAAAGAATTAATTTGCTTAATAAAGTATTCTCTATATAATGTTTGTCTGTTTTATTTTGGGATGAATTGAAATCAAGCATCTTTCTTAGCTTGTCTTATTGCTGTGATCCATGCCTCAGATTCAGCTTTAGTGTCTATATATTAGCAGGAAATAATGCTAGCAAGTAAAATAGTATGTAACATGAATACCTGCTCTAATTTCATATGTTCTAGCTGCTGTCATAATCTAGAGAGAGAAGAAATGTGCATGTGAGAGAATAAGAGAAAAGAAGGTGAGGAAGTAAGAAGAAGAAGAGAGAAACAACATATAGACAGGAAGAATGATAATCTAAGATAAATGAAGAGATCACTGAGGTTAGGAAGTAGTGAAGGACATGGAAGGAGAAGGAGAACCAGGATTGATTGAATATACATGTAGTTACATCCATAGAATGAGGAACACCCAAACCAAAACACACAACTGAATGTGTATCTTGCACATTAAAGTAATCAAAGGTTATTTTTAGCAATAATACACCAAAGATCAACATTGGATAGAAAGCACAATTGAGCTAACAGTGCTCAACAAGCAGTTTCAGTATACACAGTTCAGTTGTGCATGGACCCATTACAATGTGAAACTGGCATATTTAACACTAGCCCCTGGTAATTTTTCTCCCTCGATCATTCCAATAACCTACTGAGCTGCTAAATAATGCTAGAAGACATTGGGTGATCATTACAGACTGCTAAATAAAGATTATCTTTATTCTAAAGATAATCAAAATATTGAAGTTGATTTTTGTCATGACTCATTTAGAAAGGAATAACAACCATTATCAGTTTAACAGTTGGTACTATTGAATACACACACTGACAATGTATATATACTATGCTGCAAATCACATTACTTTATTGATATTGTATCTATTAGACCCTTAGTATAATGACAGGTTTCAAGTTCATGGCAATATAATATAATTTTTATACTGTACTAGCTTGAGTCAACATTTGACAATAACAAGTCACTCACTGAAAACGTCCCATTTGCAGATGCATCGCTAATCTCTGAAATTTCTTTAAGGTCGATTGTTCCGGATGGTGTGTGACGCTAAAATGCAGTAAAAGAGAAAGAAGGTGATATTATAATAATAAGATTATAAAACCATTATATGTAAGATACTACATTGCAATGTTATTCTAATGCATTAGAGAGGGAGAGGTTTGTAAAGTCGATTAAAATACTTACTCCTCCTTTGAAATATGATAAGTGCTTTCCATTGAGTATAAACAGTCTCTGCCTCCACTCTGTGTTGATCTTTCCTCTCTTGTTCAAAGTTCCTTCTTTTATCGTTTGCAAAGAAGCCATTATGAATCTGCAATAAGTTCTCCTGTTCTTCTTTTGCTAATTCTCTTCTGTACTCTTCCCTAAGTTCCCTGTGTACGACTGATAACGACTCGTTTTATCAGTAAAGATATCAAGTCCTAAGCTCCGCTTTGCTGTTCCTGCTTGGAGGATGCTGAAAGGGCGCACCACTCCCATTAATTTCCATCACGTGATTGGATATCCATAGCAACGACTGACCGACAAACACGAGAGGACAACATGGCGAGGGTGTTCGTCAATCGACTTGATGATTATATCAGCAAATCTATCCTTAAGGTAGCCCCAGGGCTTGTCTGGTATATCTAAATAAGTATCTTTATTCTTAGGCTGTGAGTGATAAGGCAGTGGGGACTGCAAGGAAAGACGAGGAAGAAGAGGAGGAGGAAGGAGCTGAAGCTGGTGGAGCTGATGGTGCAAAATATGAAGTGATAGGAACTCTGAGAGATGAGAAATCACATGTCCCTCTGGCAAAGGAGATTGTCCCTGTTAGTATAATCTATTTTTATGCATTGATGCTATAATAATAATAATATTAGTCTGATAGTAAGACCCAACTAATGGAGGCCCTCTTGACTTGCGACGCTATTGTGTACAATATCAGTGACACTGCCACTGAAGTTGAGGAGGCAATGTGGGCTATACAGGAACTCCATGAGAAGATGTCATCGTTTGCAACAGTCAAAGTATTTGTTTGTGTATCGACCGTGTTGACTTGGGCCAAAACAAAACCACTTAATCCTGTAAGTTGCATTAATTTTCTTTGGTGCTACTTCATTCATGTACATGCATACACTTGCTCTCTTTTAGGATGAACCGGATGTTCCTTTTACTGAGGAAGACTATAGGAGGAGACGGACCCATCCAAATTTTAAGGAGCACATAACTGCCGAGAAAGAAGTCATCAAGTTAGGCAAGACGGTTAGTTATAATAGGAACACCACTGATTCAATCATGATTGGTATATGATACTTAATGCAGGACAAGTCAAAGCTACAGACTTATGTAGTGGCCAGTGGGCTTCAATATGGAGCTGGTGAAGATATCTTTCACTATTTCTTTAAAGTAAGTACGATTATTATTATTATTCATGAACAAGTAGCTAAATTTATGATTTAATAAATTATTATAGTCTGCTTGGATGGGCCGTGAAAAAGAGTTGCCAGTCTTTGGAGATGGTCAAAACGTTGTCCCTACTATACATGTTGATGACCTTGCAAGGTAAATTGTTATTTTACTTTCTCTACATGTATATTCATTCTCACTTTTCTTTTGTTCTCTCTCTCTTTTTTTCACAGTATAATTTTCAATGTGATTGACTCAAAGCCCAAAACAAAGTACATACTAGCAGTAGATGAGTCAAACAATACACTAGAGGACCTTGTCAGGGTATGCACACATCACGTATAGAGTATAATTAATATTATGTACATGTACATGTACAGTCTGTTAGTAAGGGACTAAGCACTGGACGAATATCACACGTCTCAAAGGAAGATGGACTCATTGTTGATGGACTGACAGTAAGTGAATAGGATCAAGTGTATTTATTGTTGATAATAATTGTGCTCATTGTATAGCAAATGCAATATGACGAGCTAATGGTTAGTTTACTAATGGAGGGAACATGCATTAAGGAGGAAATGAAAATGACCTGGGTAGCAGAAGTAAGCATACAGTACATATTGTTAATGCATGTACATGTATTGAACCTAATGCTCCTCTTTTTACTTTATAGAGTGGCCTTATAGAAAACATGCCTTCCATCATTGTTCAATATAAAGAGGAGAGAGGACTCTTAGTAAGCCTATGCATGTATCTAACATAAAGTCCTATATTCACTCTTTGCTAAATTTGCATTATTTTTTTAACAACACAGCCGATCAAAATATGCATCCTTGGCCCTCCAGCTGTTGGCAAGACAACAGTTGCCTCTCAGCTTTGCAAGCATTACAAGCTCCATCATGTGAAGATGGCCGACGTCATTAAGGAGGCACTTGAGCTGATAGAGAGGAGGGCAGCTCGCTCTGACTCAAACGATGTCAATGAAGATGACGATGAAGCAGCTCAAGAAGCCAAGGACTACCTAGAGGTATTAAAAGATGATTTGGAAGAAAACAAAGGTACATATGCACTATTTGTATATGTATACCAGCATGGTTGTTTTATCTAGGTAGATACAGCACACAGCATATTATAAAGTTTTTTAAGGACAAGCTCCAATCGATGCCTTGTCAGAATCAAGGTTTTGTGTTGGACGGGTTTCCTAAGACAGAGGAAGAGGCTAGAGAACTTTTTGGACGTAAGTACATGTAGTATATGCATGTACAATAATAATTGTTATATCCAACACAAATCTTTTGCACTCTTTCTCTCCCATAGCTGAAGAGAAAGATGATGATGATGGTGAACAAGATCCATACAATAAGGCACTAATGCCTGGTAAGCATCACATGTACTAGCATATACATGTTCTGATTTCGATCAAAATTATATTATTTAATCAGGCCGCCAAATTTTAATAAAAATGACTAGAAGAGAATTTTCCATTTTTATAAATTTTTCTGATGCATATACATGTTTTTATTTTGTGTAGAAAGTTTGAGCTGATTGCAATCAAATTTGGATTTTTTATAAATTTTTGAATTTGCTCCAAAATCAGGCCAAAGTCCCTGTGCTGTAGTACAGGGTCATTGGCCAAAGTTTATCAAAAATAAAAAGTAGAAAATTTTTCATTTTTATAATTTTTCCTGATAGATAAACATGTTCTTATGTCATGTTTCAATTTTGAGACGATTTCGATTAAAATTGGATTTTTTAATGAATTTTTAAAGTTGCTAAAAATAGTACATGGTCTTTGAATAGTACTACATGTAGTTGTGTATCTTTTATTCAATTCTCATTCTCCTCCTACAGAGCTGGTAGTATCTCTTGATGCTGATAATGCATTCCTTAAAGAAAGAGTCATCAACCTCCCTCAATCACAAGTAGCAGGAACTCACAATAATGAAGAAGGTACAGAATGCATACCTCCTCACATGTACATGCATGCTAGTACGTACATGTACATGTACATGCATATACTAACATGTACATGTACATATACATGTATGTACATGTGTATATACATGTACACAATCTAAGATAAGCATTCATTGCATTAGTGAAACAGTTTCCTGTATATCTTTGTGCGTGTTGTACTATATTACAACCAATCACTTGAGCAGTGATTCCCATGTAAACGTTACAATCCAATGTTTATTCATTCATTATAATGTACATGTACACATGTGTGGTGTAGGTTTACTCAGACGATTGAAGTCATTCCGTGAGCAGAATGAGGAAGATGTGACTGTTCTTAATTATTTCGATGAGCTGGAGATACATCCACTGCACATCAGTATGTCTGTATAACATCACTCTTAATGAGAGAGGAGAGAGAGAGAGAGGAGAGAGAGAGAGAGGAGTATAGTGCAGCAATTAAATGTCTTATTCCTCAGGAGTATCTGATGATACTAGTGAAAATATGTCAAAGACAGTTGAAGATATTAAGAAGGTTATCAAAGAGCCAAGAAACTATGGTGAGATGAAGAAAGAAAGTGATGTATAATTTTTTGGCACCTTGTTCACACCTTGTGGTGCTAAGAAGGTGTGAACAGCTAGGCTTGTAAAAAATTACAACCAACAAAAAAATTTTGTGATTATGATTGTATACTAATGTTTTAGGTTTAACTCCTGAAGAGAAGGAAATTCTGGAAAAGAAAGAAAGAGAAGAAAAGGTACCATACAAAATAATTTCTTGTGCTGGCTGATACATAATGTACATAATGAACACTTAATCAGTCCATTTACTGTATTGTATCTTTTGGATAGATATTGAGAGAAGCTAAAGAGAGAGAAGAGAAAGACAAACAGGAAACGATAGAAAGAGAACTAAGAGCAAAGAGAGAGCAAGAATGGGTAATAGCACTAATAGCACACATCGTACATACATGTACATACACACAACATTCATGCATACAGCATGTGTACATACCTGCAACCCACCCACACTCTGCACTAAAATGCATTAACATAATATGCCCATCCACTGCTACTGATAGAGTGAAAGATTGGCTCAAGTACAGAAAGAGGAGCAAGAGATGCTAGAGACTCACAGCATTCCATTAAGAAACTACCTAATGAGACACGTAATGCCCACACTAACTGAAGGACTCATTGAAGTATGTAAAGTTAGACCTGATGATCCTGTGGACTATCTGGTAAGGATGAGTATATACATTGTACATGTATTATTGTATGAATCTTCTTTAGTCTGAATATCTGTTCAAGAGTAATCCTCAGATTGACTGATAGAGGAGCATGAAAAACATAATTATTGAGATTTGAGACATATACCATGTACCTATTATGAAACATGGAGAGTATACATTGTGTAATTGTTATTATAAAGTAACAAAACTATAAACCATTTAGAACAATACAGTATAGCTGCTATGTGGCATGTGCACTGTCATTGCACATGCATGGCAAATTGACGTATACACACACACACACACACACAGTCGAAGCTTATGTAAGTTATGCTACACAAATGGATTGTTGTTTATACAAGAAAAACTATTAGCAAAATAATTTGATTCTGTTGTAGGTAGATGGATATTTCCTGTACTGAATGAGTCCCTTATCAACAGCTATTTTGATCTATTGTTGAGCATTATAAATTTATCATAAGAAATAATATAACGGCCTTAAGATTTTTACAAAGAATAATGTTGGAAAGAGCATTACAATAGAGAGTTTATTAATAATAAAATGAGTAAAGGAGACTTGGGACGAGTGAGAGGATCAAAACCAACCATGAAAGAACAGCATTTCCTCCCTCTCTTTCTTTTTCCTCCTCTTACACATGTACATGCAGTTGCTTACTTAATACATATTAAAATTCAAGCAGAGAGAGAGAAAGAGAGGGACAAAAAACACACACATATCATACACAAATTAATAAGCTCCTAACACAAACAAAATTTATGTGAATAATAATAATAATAACAATAATAATAACAATTATTAAATAATAATAATAATAATAATAATATAGTTCTCTACATTGACACAGCTTAACAAATGGGCATTTCGGTAGATAGTAGGCAATAACTGGACCTGCCCCGCCCAGTTAACAGCCACACCCACCACCGCTATTCGGTTTATCCTTTATTGGTTGGGATTGTGTGATCTTCACGTTTGTTCCACCACCACCGCCCGGAGCAGGTTCGTTTCCTTGTACCTTCTTTATCTCGGCTGCCATCGTCATAAAGGCTTGCTCTACATTTGTGGCGTTCTTGGCACTTGTTTCCAAAAATGGTATGCTTAGCTGATCGGCAAATTCCTATCAAGGAGGGAGAGAGAGAGGGAGAGACAGAGAGCAATGTAATACAAAAGAATTGAAAATAAAAGGAAAAATAAGAGAGAGAGGGGGGGGGAATAGATAAGGTAGAATATGCGAAAAGGGATAGTCACGAAAAGGCACAAATATATAAACAAACATTGGACTAGTCGTTGTTTACTTTTGCTGTAGTAAAGTCCACGACTTTCTTGTTGGTCAGATCACATTTGTTCCCAACCATTAGCTTACATACGTTAGTGCTAGCATATCGGTCAATCTCTTGCAGCCAAACTTTAACATTTGAGAATGACTCCTGAATTATTAAAAGGGAAAGAGGGAGAGAGAGAGAGAGACAATAAATAAATTAAAATGGAGAAGGAAACATAAAAGTTAAAGGGCATGTCAGAAAAAATGAGGATACGAATTGAGAAATAATGTGGTAATGAGTTTAGAAGTAGTAGGAGAAGGAAACAATATTTTGTTGTAATCATGTGATTCTCATTAGCATAATAATAAAATTAATAATACAACACACACGTAAACATATGAAAGAGCTGCCAGGGAATGCGTGCCACACTACAAAATGAGTCAGCACAAAACATGACTGATAAAAATACACAAAAAATAATAATATAAAGCATGATTACTACTAAAAGCATGGTTACTACTAAAACTACATGAACATGTATGTAGAACCATTATTTTTTATTCACATGCATAGTGTGAATGTGTGTGTGTGTGTCTATCATTGATGCTGTTGTATGTCTCACCTGATCAGTGACGTCAAAGACTATAATGATACCATTAGCTCCTCTGTAATAACTGGACGTGATAGTTCTGAATCTCTCTTGACCTGCCGTGTCCCACTAATGAAAGAGAGAGAGAGAGAGGGAGAGAAGAGGAAGAACAGGGAATGATTAGAGGTCAGCTCCAACGGGAAGAGCTTACGATTTGTAGTTTTATTGTCTTTCCGTCCAATTCGACCGTCCGAATTTTCTGTAAATAGAAAATGAGTTTAGTTATACTTGTAACAAAAGAAACTTACAAAATCTACCCCAATAGTACTGATATAACTGTCAGTATATGTGTCATCCTATTAGAGAGAGAGAGGGGGGGGGGTAAAGATTATAAAAGGAAGGCCACATTATTATTGACTTACAGCAAATCGTAACAAAAGACAAGATTTGCCTACACCTGAGTCACCAATGAGTAAAAGTTTGAAAAGATAATCACTACAGGAAAAACGAAGACACACAAGTAGCGTAAAATGAAGCAGGTATGTCATGTACACGTACATGTATCACACCTACTGTACATATATTTTAAGAGTATTTCTACGCAAACATACAAAATCCCATTCCATTCCAAACATACTCATGTCAAATAATACAAAATGGTTGCCTCCCAAAATGGGCGTGGTCAAAAGTCTACTAATGACAAGCCCTCATTGAATGCGATAGTAACACGATAGACTGTGATTGGTTCATTTTAAGCAACTTATATACATGCTTCAACCTTTCATTCTCTCTCCCTCCCCCTCATCTTTCATGTAAATAGGCCACTTACTATTCTGGATTGTAAGACATTTCGAGAGGATTAGGGAGAAACTGTTAGAGCTAGCTCTTTGCGTGCAGGACTCTTCTAGTCGCTCCTGTTACAGGTGAAGGCAAACGTGTCAAAGGAAATCTAATAGAGACAGAGACAGAGAGGGGTCGCTTTATCTTGTGACAACCCAACAGGAAGCAAAATGGCGGAGGGCCTCTCTACAGCGCATGCGCAGTAAAACGACATCATTATGACGTAACTAGGCTATTCAAATTTGTCACGTGACCATTTTCCAGCGACGGCTAAGTTTGAGGCCTTTATTTCTTTATAGGAAACTTTTAAATTTTTTAGATCAATCCTTTGATTCCATTACCACTTTTTCTAGATGACAAGCACTAGGAAAGCCTCACACGCTGGGAGCTGGTACAGTGGCTCAGGTAACTAGTATAATGATATTCATTGATATCAATTTGTTGCCTAGGTGACAAACTGACCTCGCAATTAGAGGAGTGGCTGGGCAAAGCAACCAGCTCTGGAGCCAAGCATGCACCAGCAAGAGCCATCATTGCACCGTATCCACACACACACATATTGCATCGAATATCAATAATAGTTTAATTGCAAATAGTAGTTTAATCCTTATGTAGTTTTAATTCTTATTTAATGACATGCATTTTCTTAACACAACTCAGACATGCAGGCTATTCCTATTCAGGCCCATGTGCAGCTTATGCTTACAATCAAATAATACCAGCCGGAATGTAAGAACTATTGACATATTGCAACTCACATTCTCTTCTCAGAAAGAGAGTGTTTATATTGGGCCCTTCTCATCACAAGTACATGCCAGACTGTGCCCTCTCTGCTTGCAGCCATTATGAGACTCCACTCTATAATCTGGAGATAGACAGAGAGAGTAATGAGTGATCTTGATAAATTGCTGGTTATTGCATGCTCTTTTATCTTTTCATGCAGTTTATCATAGTCTTTATTCAACCGGTAAATTTAGTCAAATGGATGTAAGGACTGATGAAGATGAGCATAGTATAGAGATGCATCTTCCTTATATAGCTAAAGTAATGGAAAGGTTAGCTATGATCTGACTATAATATAGGATTACTACTACTTTGTATTATGCATGTGTATGAATAGCAGGATAATTTTCTTGATTGAACTGTATTATGTGTTTTATTTTTGCAGTAAAAGAGGCTCATTTACCATAGTTCCAATACTTGTTGGTGCTCTCAAGCCTGACAAGGAAGCCGAATATGGACAATTGCTGCACAAATATCTCTTAGATGAACAAAACCTATTTGTTATATCGTCTGATTTCTGTCACTGGGGTAAGAGGAAATAAATGCATGAGGAGTGTTTGTGAGTCATTTGTCATTTTGGGGGCTATCTACATGTATATGGTATCATAAATTGGCCCATTCCTTTAAAATGGTCATAACTTGAAAATTTGAGCTCGGAATCAGCTCAAACTTTCTACATAGCATAAAGACATCAATATGCATCAGAAAATATAATAAAAATTGGGGGTGATTTTGGAGCCATTTTTTGGAAAAAAGCATCGGCTATAGTACAGGGAAAATTTCAGATTGTGGCCCATTCCTTTAAAATGGTCATAACTCAAAAGTTTGAGCTCGGAATCAGCTCAAACTTTCTACATAGCATGAGGACATCAATATGCATCAGAAAATGTAATAAAAATTGGGGGTGATTTTGGACCCATTTTTTGGAAGAAAGCATGGGCTATAGTACAGGGAAATTTTCAGATTTTGGCCCATTTCTTTAAATGGCCATAACTCAAGAATTTGAGCTCGGAATCAGCTCAAACTTTCTACGTAGCATAAGGACATCAATATGCATCAGAAAATATAATAAAAATTAGGGGTACTTTTAGAGCCATTTTTTGGAAAAAGCATGGGCTATATATAGTACAGGGAAAATTTCAGACTTTGGCCCGTTTCTTTAAATGTGAAAATTTGAGCTCAGAATCAGCCTACATAGCAATGCATCAGTGGGTATCAGAAAATATCATAGAAATTGGAAATGTGCTAGTTGATGTGTGTCTATTTTCAGGTAAAAGATTCCAGTTCACATACTATGACAAGGAACACGGTCCAATACATTCCTCAATAGAAGCACTAGATAGAATGGTATACAGACATTCCCTTGTGACCTATTGCTATACTCTTATTATAGGGTATGTCACTCATCGAGGCATTAGATACTAAAGGTTTTCAAAAGTACCTTCAAACTTACCGCAATACTATATGTGGTAGACATCCAATCGGTGTACTACTAAATGCAAGTATTGCAATTGTAAGTACACACCATTAACCTTGTCTTATTAATAGGCTATAGATGCAGCTCAAGGAGAAAAGTCATTTGTATTAAAGTTCACTCAGTATGCCCAGTCCAATCGCTGCACTGCTGCATCTGATAGCTCAGTCAGTTATGCTAGTGCATCTGTTGTAGTCCCACCAGATACTTAGGAATGAACATGAAACTGTCATAGTTATCATTCTTTAGAGTTTCAATATTAATATTAATCACAATTGCAAGTATTGCACTCTACATGATTACAAAATTGCATTTTTTCTAAAAAAATTATATCACAGGCAGTCATATTTTATATTAATAACAGTACAATTATATGATTGATACTAAGTGTACATGCATCATCAGCCATCATGCATGTAGAAATTTGTACACCGGTTACTCCCAAATGAATTTCTAATGCTCTTTGACCGTAACATTCTAAGTAAACTAGCTAGAAACCAACAACTTACCAGCAAGCTCTGTGTTAACTTGATCCTGGATTAGTTCATAATGAGTGATGATCAGTTTGTTGGTCTTAGTTCATCTTCTCCTCATCCTACAGGAGCCTCAGACCATCTATTACCTATTGCATTGGCTGGTGTGTTTACATTTATTCTTCTACTCCTCATACTCAATATCTTCATTATAATTCTATATAAAATTCTGTGTGAAAAGAAGAGAATTGGTCCTATTGCTTTAGAGAAGTCTAAGGAAACTACAGCCACAAGTGATATTGATCAAGAGCAGATTGAACCTGTTGCCAGTGAACCAGAAGAAATATCAACTGAAGAAAACGTATCATATAAAGTTCATGGACCTCAGTCTGTTCCTGTTGAAAGTACAAGCAGTGCTACTTCTTCAAGGCTGCAAACCTCTATGTCAGATAATCCTGCTTATGGATCCATTTAACCAACAAGTATTATCATAATGAAAACTATTATCAATGAAACTATCAGTACAGTAATAATATTGAATAGTTGTCAACTTCTTAGATTTTTTCATTAGTAATAAATAGATTAACAAACCAATAGATCTACATTAATGTGACTACATGCTATAAGTACACATTGACTGCATTCATAGCAATTAGCTATTGACTACCAATTGATCGCCAAAGAATGTGCAATAAGTAGTTACAGTACTATCCACACAAACATAAAAGTCAGCTATCTGCAGTTCCTCTTTGGAATACCAAAAGTTGTTGTTCAAGTACGTCTAGGCCATATAAGGATGCTTGACATAGCAATAATAATCATAAAATTTGTTAACAGAACAGCATTATACACCCAAATAAAGATGTAGTGATCATAATAATTGTTAATAAATAATTTTCAATATCAGAAAAAAAGAGATGAAATTGCTTGTGCTAATTATTAATAGTCAATAAAATTAATTAAATCTGCTCTGGGCTGAGAAAGAGTGGGCGGGAACAATGAAGAGATCTTATCAAAAAGCTACCAAACACGACAAGATTCTAAAATTTAAAACAAAAATCTTAAGTCTTCTTACCTGAGATCTTATCTCTCTCACCGACGGTAAACTATCAACTATTTGAGATTTAATTGTTAGAAAATAATTTTTTTGTGCACTAAATGACTCACCTTCACTGAAAAGCTGACTTGTTAAGGAACGAAACTACAGAAAAAATTTTAAAAAAATTAAAAAAAAATTCAAAATACTTATACTCTTTATTTCAAAATCTAAATATTTGTACTCTTGATTTCCATTTAAAATTTAAATTTCGGTTGCATTGGGAGTTATGATGAGGTGCAGTGTGCTTACCTCTTGACTGTGTGCAGGGTTATTATGATTAACACATTCAGCTAGCGTAGTCTGAAGGTAACGTAATGCATCACTGGGATCAACCCGAGTCAACTCATTGTACCTTTAAAATAAAATAAGATTATTACAAAATACAAAAATACTAAGTTTACTTCTGTTTTCGTATGGTATAGACACACTTTTGTAATAGATTCTCTCGTGTTTGCCTCTTTATCTAAAAAATAACAACAAAACTTAATGACATCCCCACACTCCCTTTTCCCAAGTCCCAGGCTCATAGTTCTATGTACTTTCATGGTCCACATGTCATTGAGTCTCAGTGAGGAGGCACTGGGAGTCCCTGGGTTACCTCCAAACAAGTAGTGAGTGTTGTTTGTGGGGTCGTACACCAGCTGGTACGCATATCGGGGGCATGGGGAGGGAGAGATAGAAGTGACCTTTGACCTTGGGATTTAAAAATATAAACAATAATCAATTCACTCTGTTCTTGTTCCTGAGCATTATCTCTCTTCTTTAAAAGCATGCAAGTACACAATGGGTATATATTCTTTCTTCCTTTCCTTTAGCCTCTTACCATTTCTTTGTTTCGGTTGTGTAGACCCAAATCGAGTTAGAGTTTGAGTCTTCACTGGATGAAGCAGTTTCACGACGACTGATGCCCTTAGGAAGAAGGAAAAGTTATAAGTAGCTTAAGATGTTCCTAGGACTAGTGTACCATGTGTAAGTATAATTCTGAATTTGATGGCTCAAAAGTTGCTCTTACTGTGTAACCAGCAGCTGGCTCTAATGAGAGAAAGAGAGAGAGAAATTATGAATATTTATTTAGACTACTAAAAATTGCATGATTAAATCCTGCCATTATTTGAAATTATCAAGGAATCAAGCTGCCCAAGTTTTGATTTAGACAATCTAACCACAGGTAACTTTTATGCCCTCAAAATATAGCCGGTTCAAGATGCCCAAATATGGTAAAATATCAATCTATTACTAACGATGTTGGTTGGATCCGTCAGTCAATAGAAGTGTTGTGTCACTTGATATATTGTACTGCCACATGTCACTAGAGATAAAAGAAACATATTATGCCATATTTTAGGATTAACTACCATACCATAATGACTCCTTCTCTCTCTGACCGCCAATTATATAAAGCATCTGCTTCTCCTAAAAACAAAAAATTAAATTAAATAATAAAAATTAAATTAAAATAAATAAAAATAAAATGTTGTACTTACACGACAGAGTACCATTGTGTGTGCCATGCGCGGTTTCATTTGATCAGGATATGTCAGTAAATCCTTCTTTGTATAATCAGGTCTAAGACACACCCACTTCCTCTCTAAGCACTGGTAGGCATACAACCCACTGAATATATGATCATCTCCCACGCCTTCTTGCAAATAGCTAAAAAAATAATTTTATTTTTTAGAATAAATTTTCATTAGACTTAAAAAATGCATTTGTAAATTAATGCATTGATTTAGCTTGTCCCATTTAAATGGACATAACTTCAAAATTTGAGCTCGGAATCAGCTCAAATTTTCTACATAGCATAAGCACATCAATATGCATCAGAAAATACAATAAAAATTGGGGGTGATTTCGGAGCCATTTTTTGAAAAAAAGCATGGGCTATAGTACAGGGAATTTTTCAGATTTTGGTCCATTTCTTAAAATGGGCATAACCCTAAAATTTTTTGTCAAAATCAGCTCAAACTTCTTACATAGCATTAGGACATAAATATGCATCAGAAAATAGTGATAAGGATTCAAATCCTTGCATACCTAGTGATAACTCTTCCGCCAAACAAATAAACAGTCTTATTGACAGGATTAAACGATATCTGATGATCGTATATGAGCTTGGGACCTCCGTCAGCATGAGTATCAGATGACAGCTCCTCCCACTTACCAGTCTGAATACTATAGCTATAAAAATCGCCCTAAGATAAAGATGAATGTCATTAATGGGGAGATGCATGTGTCGCTTGGTTTCTCACAGGTACAGTGATGGTAAAGAGTGATGTACGAGTATCCTGATTCAGGTATCGTCCAATGACGTAGATTATCTGATTCTCAGCGTCCAAACACATCTTGTGACACGAACGAGGGGAGGGACCACCCTAAACAACAACAAAAAACAATAACAACAACAATAATTATAACAAATGATTACTATAACAATACATAATAATAAATCTTTTTATCATTCTTGATTACTTGTTGAGTTGTATCACGACTGAGGCACTTCCATTGCTTCCCGTTGATGTTAAATACCCAGAAATCAGATAGCTCCTGTATCCCGTCCCAACCTCCAAACAGATAAATGAGTTGAGCGTTGACATCAAGACAAAGCTGATGGCCTCCTCTGGCACAAGGCCAAGAATTGACTTCACCTGAAGAGAAGTAAAAGCAATGTGCTAACAATAATTCATATCTTATAGTTCTCTTTTGTTCCTTTCTTTCTCTCTCTCTCTCTCTCTCTCTGCTTGTCTCTGTCTCTTTCCCTAACATGATTTGTCTTCTATCATTTCCCATATTGCCTGTAGTGGCTGCTCTTTGATATGTGAGTCCAGGAGTCCATCTAATAAAATGAATACACACATAGGTAATATTTGATACATCTTGAAAATTACAATCTAATTAATAATTAATCAATCAACTTTGGCAATAAACAAGCAATAATCTTGAGCCACTGCTGAAGTATATAGTCGACAAGTGCATGCTACAATTAGCTACAACTAGGCTACCAAAACATACAATGACTATCATATAATTCGATTGTATTTTGTCATATGCACTCTCTAATCTATTTCTCAGTCACTAAAGAGAATTAGCTTCATTTAATTAGTATCTATTGTTAATTCCTAATTGACATCTCTCCAATCGACTGTTGAAGGCTTTAAGGGAGTATCTTCCTGTCACACACTATCTCTTGACAGCAATTGAACAATACCAAGAGAATAACGTAGAATAGATAAATTAATAAAGTGGATAAAAACAATTAAATCCATAGTCAACTGTTAATTCTTGCATTGCAAAGCATAATCAGCATCTGTAATATGTGAAACTATAATGACTAATATCAAGAGTAGATAATTGTTCTAATATTAAGCCAACAATTGCAATGAGATATAGTATAACAACAATGAAACTTGCAAAAGGTATAAATAAGGAACAGCTCAAAGCAAGGTTAAGCAATTTTGTCTTAGTATTGTTTACAGAAGTAATGATGCTCTCTAGCATTCTGCTGCTCATAACTTGTCTTCAAGTGATCAGTGGCTCTGATTTTGCATTTACTTTTGATGCAAATAAGAACAAATGTACTGCAACAGCTTCTACAAGCAGTGATAGAAATCATACTCATATCATACTATCAAACAATACTGTGCTGTTAGAAGAACTACTCAATGCTACAAGACAAAATGCTCAAGCTATCAAAGAAATAAAGTCAATGATAAATGGAGGCCACAATAGTTGTGAAGCTATCAATGATATACTGCTACTAGTAGAAGAACTTATCATGTTACACAATGACTCATCTTCCTTCTCTCCTATCCCTAGTTCTTGTCAAGAGATTAAGAACAAACAACCAAACAGTCCTTCTGGTGTATATCTACTAGAAACTGCTACCAATGGAACTCAATACATTTACTGTAATATGGAGGAGCTGTGTGGTTCAGGAGGAGGATGGACAAGACTAGCATATCTAAATATGACTGACTCTACAGAGAACTGTCCTTCTGGGTTTAGACTGTACCAGTCAGGAGGAGTTAGAGCTTGTGGTAGAGTAACATCAAGTGAAGGCAGTTGTGTATCAGTTGAGTTTCCATCTAATGGTATCAGTTACTCTCAAGTGTGTGGTAGAGTAGTGGGATATCAGTTTGCTTCACCTGATGCAGTTGATAATATAATTAATGGCCCAGAAAGTCATAATGACATTAATTCTTATTATGTTGATGGTGTTAGTATCACTCGTGGGTCTCCTCGACAACATGTCTGGACACTAATGGCTGGGGTGTCAGGAGGATTTAGTACTACTGAATATCCATACAATTGTCCTTGTTCCACTGGTAGTCTTCAAAGTTCAAAAATTCAATCATTCGTTGGTAATGATTACTACTGTGAATCAGGAGCTGGTAATGCTTGGACTCATATTCTCCACACATCTGATCCACTATGGGATGGTCAAGGTTGTGGTTCTATTGAAACAGCTTGTTGTAATGTTCCTGGTATCCCATGGTTTCACAGAGACTATGGTAACAATACCACTACTGACTACCTTGAGCTGAGGGTGTGTGCTGATCAAGAGACAGCTGATGAAGATGTTCCTGTTGCCTTTTACGAGATTTATGTTAAGTAATTATCAACTATTAATTGATTGAATTTTGAGTGATTCTTATTATTAGATTAGATTAGCCAGACTTTCATGCATGATTAAGTAACAATTGTCCTTGTTGTGTTAAATTTTCATAATTTCCAAGTTATTTTTTGATTGAAATATTTTTATGAGATTAGCAACAAAACACTCACATGTTTGACTGTAAAACGAGCCATTATTATAGAATATGCTCCTTCCTATGCCCATGTCTAATGAGTCTATATTCTTTTATAAATAGCACTAGCAGCAATAAATATAACTAACCAAAACGAAATTATCATGTGGAAATCACAAAACTAAAGCAATGCATGCAGCAAAAGGTCACGTCAACACAGAATATACATATAGCACTGACAGATCATAATTATATTGTGAATTGGAATTGTCATAGCAGTATAGTTCACATTCTTATTCAATTAGTATATACAGAAAGAAAACAAATATGTTATCACTATAGTACGTTCTGTAAATGTCTGACATTACCTATAACGTCATGTCTGACGTCACTAGTCAGGCTCTTCTGAATATTATAAAAGGAGTGAGGAGTAGACAGTAAACAATCATTACAAAGAGGATAATAATGCTCTCTCTTCTTATACTAGCTATTGCTTGTCTCCCTCAGTTTATCAGCAGTTCTAATCTTGCTCTTACATTTGATGCTGCTAACAGTACCTGTACTGCAGCCTGTACTACCTGCAGTGATACCAGTAATACTGATATCAATCAATACAACACTGATGATGGGCTATTGAATGAGCTACTCAATGCTACCAGGAACAATGGACAAGATATTCAAGAAATAAAACAGAAAATGGACGGTATCATTTCTTCTCTCTCTTATATCAAGGAGACTGCTACCTCTAATGCTGGAGCTATCAATGATATACTGCTACTAGTGGAAGACCTTATCATGTTACACAACGACTCATCTTCCTTCTCTCCTATCCCTACTTCTTGTCAAGAGATTAAGAACAAACAACCAAACAGTCCTTCTGGTGTATACCTACTGGAAACTGCTACCAATAGAACTCAAAATATTTACTGTAATATGGAGGAGCTGTGTGGTTCAGGAGGAGGATGGACAAGACTAGCATATCTGGATATGACTGACTCTACAGTGAACTGTCCTTCTGGGTTTAGACTGTACCAGTCAGGAGGAGTTAGAGCTTGTGGTAGAGCAACATCAACTGAAGGCAGTTGTACAGCAGTTCAGTTTCCATCTAATGGTATCAGTTACTCTCAAGTGTGTGGTAGAGTAGTGGGATATCAGTATGGATCAACTGATGCTGTACTTGATTATCATGGTGCCCATGAGAATCACAATGACATCAATTCTTATTATGTTGATGGTGTTAGTATCACTCGTGGGTCTCCTCGTCAACATGTCTGGACACTAATGGCTGGACTGCAAGGATCATCTTTTGCTTATGAGGGACACAACATTTGTCCTTGTGCCTCTGGTAGTACTCAAAGTCCACAATCATTCATTGGTAATGATTACTATTGTGAATCAGGAGTTGATAATGCTTGGACTTATATTTTCTACCCATCTGATCCACTGTGGGATGGTCAAGGTTGTGGTTCTATTGAAACAGCTTGTTGTAATGTTCCTGGTATCCCATGGTTTCACAGAGACTATGGTAGCAATACTACTACTGACTACCTTGAGCTGAGGGTGTGTGGAGATGAAGGAACGGCTAATGAAGATGCTCCTGTTGCCTTTTATGAGATTTATGTTACGTAACTATCAACCATTAACTGATTGAACTTTGAGTGATTCTTATTATTAGATTAGATTAGCCAGGCTTGCATGCATGATTAAGTAACAATTTTCCTTATTGTGTTAAATTTTCATATTTTTAGTTGTGTTAGATTTTTTTGGTTGAAATAATCATATGAGATTACTGAGTAACAGATAGTGATCCAGATCAGTGGACTTCTTTAACAAAACACTCACAAGTTTGAGTGTAGAATGAGCCACTATTATAGAGCATGCTTCCTATGCCCATGTCTAAGTCTATTATAATAACAGAAATGAAATTATCATGTGGAAACCACAAAACTAAAGCAATGCAGCAAAAGGTTACATCAAAAGAATATGTAGCACCGACAAATCATAAAATTTCACTAGTAGCACAACTTTAATCACACATTCTTGTTCAATTAGTAGTACTAACAGTTACTAGTAGAGTACGTTCTTTAAATGTTTGGCATTACCTACAACATACGTCTGACGTCACTAGTCAGGCTCTTCTGAATATTATAAAAGGAGTGAGGAGTAAACAGTAAACAATCATTACAAAGAGGATAATAATGCTCTCTCTTCTTATACTAGCTATTGCTTGTCTCCCTCAGTTTATCAGTAGTTCTAATCTTGCTCTTACATTTGATGCTGCTAACAATAGCTGTACTGCAGCCTGTACTACCTGCAGTGATACCAGTAATACTGATACCAATCAATACAACACTGATGATGGGCTATTGAATGAACTACTCAATGCTACCAGGAACAATGGTCAAGATATTCAAGAAATAAAACAGAAAATGGATGGTATCATTTCTTCTCTCTCTCATATCAAGGAGACTGCTACCTCTAATGCTGGAGCTATCAATGATATACTGCTACTAGTGGAAGATCTTATCACGTTACACAATGACTCATCTTCCTTCTCTCCTATCCCTACTTCTTGTCAAGAGATTAAGAACAAACAACCAAACAGTCCTTCTGGTGTATACCTACTGGAAACTGCTACCAATGGAACTCAAAATATTTACTGTAATATGGAGGAGCTGTGTGGTTCAGGAGGAGGATGGACAAGACTAGCATATCTGGATATGTCTGATGCTACAGTGAACTGTCCTTCTGGGTTTAGACTGTACCAGTCAGGAGGAGTTAGAGCTTGTGGTAGAGCAACATCAAGTGGAGGCAGTTGTACAGCAGTTCAGTTTCCATCTAATGGTATCAGTTACTCTCAAGTGTGTGGTAGAGTAGTGGGATATCAGTATGGTTCACCTGATGCTCTAATTGGTTATCTTTTTGTCCCCGAGAGTCACAATGATATTAATTCTTATTATGTTGATGGTGTTAGTATCACTCGTGGGTCTCCTCGTCAACATGTCTGGACACTAATGGCTGGACTGCAAGGATCATCTCTTGCTTCTAATGGAGCATATGTTTGTCCTTGTGCCTCTGGTAGTCTTCAAAGTCCACAATCATTCATTGGTAATGATTACTATTGTGAATCAGGAGCTGGTAGTTCTTGGGATTATATTTTCTACCCATCTGATCCACTGTGGGATGGTCAAGGTTGTGGTTCTATTGAAACAGCTTGTTGTAATGTTCCTGGTATCCCATGGTTTCACAGAGACTATGGTAACACTACCACCACTGACTATCTTGAGCTGAGGGTGTGTGCTAATCAAGATACAGGTGATGAAGATACTCCTGTTGCCTTTTATGAGATTTATGTTAAGCAATTATCAACCATTAATTGATTGAATTTTGAGTGATTCTTATTATTAGATTAGATTAGCCAGACTTTCATGCATGATTAAGTAACAATTTTCCTTATTGTGTTAAATTTTAATAGCTTCTTAGTTGTGTTAGTTTTTTCGGTTGAAATAATCGTATGAGAAAACTGAGTATAATCCAATCAGTGGACTTCTTCAACAAAACACTCATCCAAGTTTGAGTATAGAATGAGCCACTATTATAAAGCATGCTTCCCATGCCCATGTCTAAGTCTATTATAATAACAGAAATGAAATTATCATGTGGATCTACAAAACTAAAGCAATGCAGCAAAAGGTTACATCAAAAGACTATGCAGCCCTGAATCATAAAATTTCACTAGTAGCACAACTTTAATCACACATTCTTGTTCAATTAGTAGTGCTAACAGTTACTAGTAGAGTACGTTCTCTGAATGTTTAGAATTACCTAGAACATCATGACTGACAAATAATGAAGATGTTCCTGTTAGCTTTTATGAGTTGTACGTTAAATGATGAGAATATACTGATGTACAGTTTGATATATATATATATAGTGTGTGTGTGTGTGTATGTGTGTGTAGTTAGTTAGTATAATAGTAGACTAGTTGTATAGTTGTTTTTTTTTATTTTTGAGTTGTTGATTTGAAAATAATTTGAAATGATGCAATGTAGAGCAGGGCATTCAGTTACCTGGGTAATTCTGTCAATTTTGTCTGAAAAGTTTCAGTATTCCTATTTCAGTCTGTCAATAAAACAGCTCATAATCTCAATTATAAACTGATATTCTTGGCTACTGCTACATTTTGAAATCAGTTGGGACAGATAAAGTATATTGATAAGTACATGTATATTAACATGACATCATTTCTGATGTCATTAGTCGGGATCCTTAATAGAATCAGGGACTAGTATATCTCATCAGAGTCCACTATGATGCTACTCTGTGCTATTGTGTTCATCATAAGTTCAACCAGTAGTGCTACGTTAGCTCAACAATCATATTCCTGCAAGCCTAATGCTGTATCATGTGATGACATAATAAAGAAGTATTGGCCAGAAAGTCCTTCAAAAAATTACAGCATTGTAAGTAAAGAAGGAACAAAGATTATTTACTGTAATATGGATGAGCTGTACTGTGGTTCAGTAGGATGGACAAGACTAGCATATCTGAATATGTCTGATGCTACAGTGAACTGTCCTTCTGGGTTTAGACTGTACCAGTCAGGAGGAGTTAGAGCTTGTGGTAGAGCAGCATCAAGTGTAGGCAGTTGTACATCAGTTCAGTTTCCATCTAATGGCATCAGTTACTCTCAAGTGTGTGGTAGAGTAGTGGGATATCAGTATGCTTCACCTGATGCTGTACAAGAGCATGCTCAGGCGAGTCACTATGATATTAATTCTCATTATGTTGATGGTGTCAGTATCACTCGTGGGTCTCCTCGTCAACATGTCTGGACTCTAATGGCTGGAGCGACAGGAGGGTCTAGTAGACATTTTAGTTACAATTGTCCTTGTTCCACTGGTAGTCTTCAAAGTTCAAAAATTCAATCATTCGTTGGTAATGATTACTACTGTGAATCAGGAGCTGGTAATACTTGGACTCATATTTTCTACCCATCTGATCCACTGTGGGATGGTCAAGGTTGTGGTTCTATTGAAACAGCTTGTTGTAATGTTCCTGGTATCCCATGGTTTCACAGAGACTATGGTAACACTACCACCACTGACTATCTTGAGCTGAGGGTGTGTGCTAATCAAGATACAGGTGATGAAGATACTCCTGTTGCCTTTTATGAGATTTATGTTAAGTAATTATCAACCATTAATTGATTGAATTTTGAGTGATTCTTATTATTAGATTAGATTAGCCAGACTTTCATGCATGATTAAGTAACAATTTTCCTTATTGTGTTAAATTTTAATAGCTTCTTAGTTGTGTTAGTTTTTTCGGTTGAAATAATCATATGAGAAAACTGAGTATAATCCAATCAGTGGACTTCTTCAACAAAACACTCATCCAAGTTTGAGTATAGAATGAGCCACTATTATAAAGCATGCTTCCTATGCCCATGTCTAAGTCTATTATAATAACAGAAATGAAATTATCATGTGGATCTACAAAACTAAAGCAATGCAGCAAAAGATTACATCAAAAGGTTATACAGCCCTGAATCATAAAATTTCACTAGTAGCACAACTTTAATCACGCATTCTTGTTCAATTAGTAGTACTAACAGTTACTAGTAGAGTACGTTCTCTGAATGTTTGGCATTACCTAGAACATCATGACTGACAAATAATGAAGATGTTCCTGTTAGCTTTTATGAGTTGTACGTCAAATGATGAGAATATACTGATGTACAGTTTGATATATATATATATATATATATATATATAGAGTGTGTGTGTGTGTGTGTGTGTGTGTGTGTGTGTGCGTAGTTAGTTAGTATAATAGTAGACTAGTTGTATAGTTGTTTTTTTATTTTTGAGTTGTTGATTTGAAAATAATTTGAAATGATGCAATGTAGGGCAGGGCATTCAGTTACCTGGGTAATTCTGTCAATTTGTCTGGAAAGTTTCAGTATTCCTATTTCAGTCTGTCAATAAAACAGCTCATAATCTCAATTATAAACTGATATTCTTGGCTACTGCTACATTTTGAAATCAGTTGGGACAGATAAAGTATATTGATAAGTACATGTATATTAACATGACATCATTTCTGATGTCATTAGTCGGGATCCTTAATAGAATCAGGGACTAGTATATCTCATCAGAGTCCACTATGATGCTACTCTGTGCTATTGTGTTCATCATCAGTTCAACCAGTAGTGCTACATTAGCTCAACAATCATATTCCTGCAAGCCTAATGCTGTATCATGTGATGACATAAAGAAGTACTGGCCAGATAGTCCTTCAAAAAATTACAGCATTGTAAGTAAAGAAGGAACAAAGAACATTTACTGTAATATGGATGAGCTGTACTGTGGTTCAGTAGGATGGACAAGACTAGCATATCTGAATATGTCTGATGCTACAGTGAACTGTTCTTCTGGGTTTAGACTGTACCAGTCAGGAGGAATTAGAGCTTGTGGTAGAGCAGCATCAAGTGTAGGCAGTTGTACAGCAGTTCAGTTTCCATCTAATGGTATCAGTTACTCTCAAGTGTGTGGTAGAGTAGTGGGATATCAGTATGCTTCACCTGATGCTGTACAAGATCGTGCCCAGGCGAGTCACTGATATTAATTCTCATTATGTTGATGGTGTCAGTATTACTCATGGGTCTCCTCGTCAACATGTCTGGACTCTAATGGCTGGAGCGACAGGAGGGTCTAGTAGACATTTTAGTTACAATTGTCCTTGTTCCACTGGTAGTCTTCAAAGTTCAAAAATTCAATCATTCGTTGGTAATGATTACTACTGTGAATCAGGAGCTGGTAAAACTTGGACTCATATTTTCTACCCATCTGATCCACTGTGGGATGGTCAAGGTTGTGGTTCACTTGAAACAGCTTGTTGTAATGTTCCTGGTATCCCATGGTTTCACAGAGACTATGGTAACACTACCACTACTGACTACCTTGAGCTGAGGGTGTGTGCTGATCAAAAGACAACTGATGAAGATGTTCCTGTTGCCTTTTACGAGATTTACGTTAAGTAACTACATTAATTAATTGATTGTTTGAGTGATAAAAACATGCCAATATTTTCAGTATTTTTAGTATTTACTCGCATACATGTGGTTTTTGCTACTGTAGCTTTGTTTTGCTTATCATTATTTCAATAATATCTATGATGTAGTACGTACTACGTAGTACTAATTTTTATGATCAATATGGGTACATGCTGTGACAATAACGAATATGTGTACCAAACTACCAATACTGTTTCTAACTGAGTAAAGTATTGTAGAGTGAGCCAAGCATCAATGTGTACACACATACATGCATTATTATACACATGAAAATCATCATAATCCACATACACAAACTCTATTATATCATACAGCAGCAAATGGTACATAAACTTACCAGATACAGCACGAGTGAATATTAGTTCAGCTTTAGTATAGTCTCCTTCCTGTACCAGCTCATGATGTAGTTCAGTAAGTAACGGATGCTCAAGGTCAAGGTGGGCTTGTTTCTGTAGTGAAGCAAAAGCTTCTTGATAATCATTCTGTCTCAAGTGCTTCAGGCATAACCTGACTGCCTCTTCCTGCTGGAACTAAAACACAGATACATAATAATGAATTTGATAAAGGAAGAATAAATGTTCTGGAAAATGAGTCAAATTAAAGGAAGTTAATTTTGTAAGATATAGGCAGAATACATGCATATGATGTAGGCTGAATCCAGTAATACAGTAAAGTCAGTGATGTTAAAGTACATTGCATTGCCATAAATATTTACAGTAATTATTTTATTCATTATTATTAACTGACTTCTTTAAGCCGGTGAGCCGCTCCCTTTACAATTGATGGGTCGGTAATCCCTAGCAGGTCTACATGCCATAAACTGAAATTAGTCTGGCCCCAAGTATCCAGCAATACTGTGGACAAAGAGTTCAAAATACACTAAAATGCAAGGGATGTTAATAAATATATACTCACCAATCTTTACGTAGAGACAAGGGAATGGACCGTTCTTCAGTGTGTGACGAAGAGCAATTGTTTCAGAGCAGCCATCATTCTTTAATTCACTAAAGAATAAACTATAAGTCTCTGCTGTTCTATTTCTCATTTCCTTCCTCTTTAATCCTCTAAATCACTATCTTATTTTCTTCCCCCGCCATTAGTAAGTAGTAGCTCTCATTCACTTATTACTTACCCTTCAGCTAGTCTAACAAGATACTCGCTATTCATTCCTCCCATTATCTTTAGCTTATGGACGTTACACGCATGAGGTCGACAATACTTGCCAAACACGGCTTCGGTCACAATGGCCGGGTGAGAGAGTTGGAGTGTAACGTGTTGAGGTGGACGACCGCTTTCGCTCAACCAACGAGAGGTGAGATCATCAGGTTTATTCTCTTTTATTAACCTATAAATAAGAGCATCTGAATTTTTAAAGTTCGGACAAAAGTCCCTGTACTATAGTACATGGTCTCGAGCCAAATTTCACCAAAAATGGCAAGGTAAGAGTTTTCCATTTTTATAATTTTATTTGATGCATATACATGTTTTTATGTTGTGCAGAAAGTTTGAGCTGATTCCGATCAAAATTGGATTTTTCATGAATTTTTAAAGTTGCTTAAAAATCGGACAAAAGTCCCTGTACTATAGTACATGGTCTTGAGCCGAATTTCATCAAAAATGGCAAGGTGAGAATTTTCCATTTTTATAATTTTATCTGATGCATATACATGTTTTTATGTTGTGCAGAAAGTTTGAGCTGATTCCGATCAAAATTGGATTTTTCATGAATTTTTAAAGTTACTCCAAAATCGGGCCAAAGTCCCTCTACTATAGTACATGGTTTCAAGCAAAATTTCATCAAAAATGGCAAGGTGAGAATTCTTGATTTTTATAATATTTTCTAACGCATATACTTGTTCTTATGTTGCATAAGAATTTTGAGCTCATTCCGATCAAATTTTCTAAAGTTTCTCAAAAAAATTTAGCCAACTACATGTAGATATGACCATGGGCCGATGACTGTTATTGTACAGCCTAAGTCATGATTACCAATTAACGAGGAGAGTACAGTAAGTTTAACACTTGCTAAGTAACCATAACACTTCTGCAAAAATTATTTTGCTTGTCCCACTTAATTAAATCAATATCAATAGAAATATCAATAGTTCAATACATAAAGTTGTGACAGTAATGCAAAAATGCTTAGTCCTTACTTGGGATGATAACCTGGAGAATAGCTAGACCACTCAACCACATCATAACTGAGTCTAGTAACATTTCCAGAAGAGGAGTTCTCCTCTTTAAACTTTGAACTGCTAGCCGCCATTATTGGCGGACACGCCTCTTTTTGTATTTGGGCCTCGTGATCTCACGTGTTTAAAATCAAACGGAAAATATACGGGAGAAGCCGGAAATATACTCGTTATTGGGTATTACATCATTATTACGCGTCTAAAGATGGCGCATCACGGATGGCAGGAAGCAGCAGAAGCTCCCAGCGTGTCACCAGGTGAATCTTCTCCATGATTTATATGTTTAAAGTATTATTTATTAGGTCCTTCAGCTCCAAGCCTTTATTCTCCTTACTCACTCGATCCAAACTACCTCCCTCAAGTAAGTGACATCATCATGCTTGTTTTATCTTGACCACGCCCTCTCATTATTCCAGGGCCCTGAGTTCATATTTCCAGTCGAAGTACGCAAGAAGTCGTGGAACGAGCAAATGTTTGATCGTACGGGATCCTGTTACCTACTAGGTATACTGATACCATTAACACTATGTGAATGACAATTATAATTGAATGTAGGATTGACTGCCGGGGGTGCGTGGGGTTTATGGGAGGGGATAAGACGTCCCGAGGGCCGCACTACGAGACTAAGAGTGAACAGCGTCTTAAATAGCTGCACCAGGAGAGGCCCTTTCCTTGGAAACACTGCAGCTGTGCTAGGTAAGGAGAAAGAGAACACAGGACTACATTAACAGGTGTTACTTGTACTCTTTAGCTCTGATGTATTCACCTTTGTGTTCAGCACTCGCTCATTATAGAGGAGTTGATGATAGCATTAACTCCATTGCTGCTGCTTCAATAACTGGACTATTATACAAATCAACAGGTAATACTTTTTTTAACATGTAACCCAAATACTCCTCTCTCTCTCTTCAGCTGGTCTAAGAGCTATGGGTGTTGCTGGAGCAGCAGGCTGTGTGGCATTAGGTATCTACTCTATCTCGTCTTATTATTTTGGTGGCAGTCAATCCCTCCTCTTCTCATAATGCAATAAATGACACGATTCGTTACAATCTATTGTGATTTAATGTAAAATGTATATATGATGATGCATTGTTAAATAAATTATTGTCCATTTTTGTTATTTATCAGTTAAATTTTGATGTCTTGTTAATAAAGACATATTACTATAATGTTTAAAATTTGGGCAAAGTCCATATTGACCAATGGCTCCTAAACTTGCTTCTCAAATTGAAATCAGTCAATCAGCTCATTTGATACCATAATTATTAATTCATTATTATATTACAAGGAATTATTAATAGAAGAAATGTAACACACGTACAACACAACTCGTTAATATCAATGATAATAATAATAATAATTAATTGGGGTTAACCCCCTGAGTGTGTAAATAAAAGGGACTACAACACAATCAGTGATATCACTGGATTAGATTCAGTCTTTGTGTTACCGTGGTAACGCTCCAAAGGTTACCATGGATACGGAGTGTCTCTACATTAATTGGTCGTCTGCAAAAGGATCGTCATCCATTCCACCACCACCTCTGGAAGTACCACTCTAATTTAAAAAATAAAATTATTATTTTTTAGATGAATATTTAGAACACTTAAGGCACAAATACTAGGCAATAATCCACAGGCATCATTTTAATATTACTTTTTTGATGTATAATTAGGGTTGACATGTGTACAATAAAACACGAAAACTTTGAAAGTTAAATTGCCTTCCTGATGTTTTTAATATTAAATATTATTTACTTTTTGTATGTAGCGTGGGTTTAGTGATAACTGATCATTGGCTTTGCTCATTTCTTGTTGGAGGCTCATGCACTCTTTGAGTCTAGCCTCCAGCGTCTGAGCACAATTATCATCCACAAAGTCATCACTGAACACAATCATCTCTTCCTTTTGATTGATGCAAGCATTTATATCACCATCTTCTATCTAATGAAGAGAGAGAGAGAGAGAGAAGGAGGGAGGAGAAGAGAATAAAAGGGAAAGATAAAAAGAGAGCAAATAATTTTGCATTAGCATGTGTATGTGAAGATTATCAATACTATTAGTACATGGAGGTGTGTACTTGCATTAAGCATTTCTGATGTGGTTTTTGCCTTACCATGTCTCTAAGCATTTTCTCCATTTCATTAGAGTCAGACAGGTCAACTCTCTGTGCTGCATCCTCCAGTGACAGTGTTATGAAAGACTGCAGGCAAAAAGAAGATAAAACGAATTAGTAAATGCGTAAACCAACCATAGTTAATCTCTGTACATTGTGTCTCACTAGCTGACTCACTACCCTCTGAACTAGTCCATAGTTACCGTCCTGTGGGCGTGGTGAGAAGGTGGGCGTGCCAGTTAATAAATATTAATAAACTAACTGATATAAAAGATTCTCTGAATTTCGACGCTAATTGCTTTGTGGCTAATTGATCTCCGGTAGCGTAGGCTTTGGCTAGTTCTAAATAGTGCCCACACGGGCTCTAATAAATAAATTATTAATAAAATTAATAAATAAATAAATAATAATAACAATAATAATAATAATACCTTAAAAACTCTTTCTACTAAGTGTGATGCACATTTCGGTAATTGAATCATCTAAGAATTGAAAATTAAAGAAAATAAGAAGAAAGTTTCTATCGTTAAAATAATTAATCTTACTTTGTTATATTTCAGTAAGCAGACTAGTATATACTTCTTATAAGCAGCTAGCATGACAGCACTGACCGCTATTGCTGGTACACACAAACACTAAATAATAGCGAATATCATTAATATCAAAAAAGGGTGTGGTCTGGTTACCATGGTGAATAATTGGAGTGCTCTGAGGTAGTCGTGGAGACAAGTGTAAGTCATTCCTCCATAGTAAAAGTAAAGAACAACATACTTGGAATCAAATTGAGATTTCTAGGAAAGATAGATATGAAAGTAATAGAGGTCACAATAGATCGTGAATTACTTCAGTTAATAGTTCAGTGTAGTTTCTAGCGAGATAAGGAAGACATGGCTTTAAACACTTAGCAGCTAAACATAACTAAAAAATAAGAGAGAGAGAGAAGCATGAACGCAAATATTAATTCCTCATTCTTACTTGTATTAAATCGCTATGCACAGCAGTAAGAGTATGTTCATTAGGAGGATACCTTTGTACAATACTCCGCACTGAATTAATACCTAATATAGCCTAGAAAAAAATAATAAAGAAAAAATTTAAAAAATATATAAATTATTATAATTTAAAATTAATTATTGTACCTTTCTATTGACACAAAGATTTTCCGTGAACTGATGGATTAAATCACAGACTATAAAAATTAAAAATAAATTATTGAACGAGTAAAACTATGAATGAGTAAAACTACGCATGAATACAAAAAAGTTAAAAAAAAATTAGCCTCACATGCTTGTGGATGAAGTCGAGCTTGCTCTGGAGAGAAGTTCTCAGAGAAGTTTGTGATTAGAGGAATAAAAACCGACCAGTCTATCAGTGGCTGCTTCACCTCAACTGATCTATAGTGAAGTAAATAAAAAAAGAGTAGGAAAAGCTACTGGAGTCCTTAATATCAGTACTTACAACACAGCCAGCCAGACTAAAGACTGGTCCCCAGGCGCACAGGAAGCAAGGAGAGACTCTCTTTGTGTAGAATCAAGGCTCGTTATCTGCCCCCACTCCTCCCTTGCCAGTTTTCCAGCTTCTTCGAGCTTTCCTTCGCTAATAAGCTTCATGAGTTCCTCCACTTTGGTCGCCATTTTATTCTCATAAGTGCATTAGCCCCGCCTACCAATCTCAACCATGACGAGCCACGCCTATTCTTCTAGCCCCGCCTATAACGTAAAAAGATGTGGGTTGGTCTAGGCTGGTATGGTCTCCTTTTTTCCTCTGTTTGCAGCTTTATACTCGGGTAAGAATCAAGATCTCGGCTCTCATTACTCTATACACGTTAGGTTTCTTGCTGTTGTCCTTTATGTGGCGTACCAGCAAGCCAAACGGCTCAAATCCATCAGTCCATTCCAGCCAGTTGTGGGGAGGAGCCATGAGCTAATGCAAGAAACCACTCCTACTTCAACTACACCTTTCTCCTCCGGTAATCAAAAAGTCGACGAGGAGCTAGGAAAGGTACCTCGATACACCTCCCACTCCACGTATTGAGCCACGCCCTTTAGGTTTTGGAGCTCTGTTTACGTGATTACGTCCGATCTTGGTACCACCCGCTAATAACTGGTAGCCCCACCCTTTTTACTCAAGCTAAAGAAACTGTGGGTGTTATAGTAGCTGATGTCAGTAAGCGATGTCAGGAACCTGATCTCCTCCCTTTGTTTATGGAGGCTCTGGTAGCAATCTTCATCGATCACTTTAGGCAATATAAAGCAGCACTGGCTCAAGTTACTGCTGGTAAGGATTTTTGTATAAAATGCAATAACTATAATAAATGTTTGTATGGACACTTCTTCACTGTATATTACACTCTTAGTATGACAGCATTATGCAAGCAGTACCAGATATGTAATAAGTTTATTGCTAATGTATATTTAATTCACATAGTGATATATTACTTAAATGGACATTGACACCTTTATACCACTAGATTACATTCACACGTACATGTACACATGCATACTGTGATAGTCACATGCCTATTACCATTATGCAGATACTGATGTTGAGAAATGCATTGCTCGGTCTGATAATGAAGGATGGGCCCTGATATGTGCCGGAGGAGAAGCTGAAATAGGTAAGTAATAATGCTTTCATTTAGATTCAACTTCATCTTTTTTTATCCTCTCTCCTTTTTAATAACTTCCTCATCCTCTCTCTCTTTCTCTTAGCTTATCTTCGTGGTATCACAGATTGCTTGCTGAGTCTTGCTCTTCCACCTGATAATGCTTCAAATCGTCTTGTGTTTGGTCTAGCACAGGATCTACTCTCAGAGCAGGTCCTACTGCCAACTGCTCATTACATAAGTACACCTTTCTATTTTAACTCAAGCGTCATTGGATTGGTAAGTAAAATTTACTTAAATTCCTTTTTTGGGTCAGCGTATTATGTGCGTGCTTTTTAAAATTTTATATTTAAATTAAGTTTTAGAGACAGTGATTTCTAAAAAAGGAATATTCAAATTAATTGATTTTTTCTATTACTGTAGACAAAGGACTCTTCGTTAAATGGTGAATCTCTTCTCATTGCACTCACTTGTGCCACCTCAGATGAAATCAGCATCACTTTAGAAATGACGATATCTGAAATAACGCGACTTAAGAAAAAGGGTAAAACAGGTTAGTGATACTAGTTACACACACACACACACACACACACACACACACACTGATTTCTCCTTCTTTTGTAGAGTTGGACCAGTTTCAGTTGAACAGTTTGAATGAGCTGAAGAACCAGCTAACTCAAATGAGAGAAATAGGACGGGTATTATGATAGTACTAGCACATAACATTATATTATCTTGCAACTTTAAAAATTTGTAAAAATTCTGAATTTGATTGGAATCAGCTCAAACTTTCTACGCAACATAAGAACATGTATATGTATCAGAAAAAATTATAAAAATGGAGAATTCTCTTCTAGTCATTTTTGATGAAATTTGGCCAATGACCCTGTACTATAGTACAGGGACTTTGGCTCAATTTCGGAGGAACTTTAAAAATTTGTAACAATTTCAACTTTGATCAGAATCAGCTCAAACTTTCTACATAGTATAAAAACATGTATGTGTATCAGGAAAAGTTATAAAAATGAGGAATTCTCTCCTTGTCATTTTTGATGAAATTTGGCCAATGACCCTGTACTATAGTACAGGGACTTTAGCCTGATTTTGGAGCAACTTTAAAAGTTCATAAAAATTCCAATTTTGATTGAAATAAGCTCAAACTTTCTACACAACATAAAAACATGTATATTCACCAGAAAAAAATTATAAAAATGGAGAATTCTCCTGGATCTATTTTTGATAAAATACCCTATACTGTAGTACAGGGACTTTTGCGAAATTCATAGCAAATTCAATTTTAATCATAATCAGCTCAAACTTGATGCATAACATGTATATTTTTTTGGAATTTTGAATGTTATTTTGTTTATATTTTATCATACAGAAACAAGCTGCTGAGGTTCAGTTTCGTAGTCAGTTCCCTTTCCTAAAAGTTGTTGTACCTGAATATAGTGAGCTACTTCTATATAGTGAATATATTTGTCTTTACTATTGCTTTAATTTTTCTCTCTCTCTCTTTTCTTTCTCTATAGAGACAATAACAGAAGGTCGTGTGAAACATGTTGATTATAAATTAATCGTAAAGTGTCAGCATAGACAAGGACCAGAAGAGGAATGGATCACTTGGAGAAGGTTCTCTGACCTACACGACTTTCATCTCAAACTAAAGGTCAGGGAATCCCACACTACCCTCATATGCTCATTCATAATTCAAAATTTTAAAAGCAGCTGCTTATTTTTATGTGTATAGGAGAGAACGCCAGGTCTTCCATCGCTTAAGGGTCAAACTAAACCTTTTAACAAGCTTGACCCTGCTTTCCTCGAGCAGAAGAAGCAAAAGATGCAGAATTACTTGAAATTCATATCGTCACAGGATTTCTTGGATTCTCATCCAGATCTCTTTGGTGACATAATCCTATTCCTCACTGGACCATCTTACACTAGACAAAGCACTGAACTAGCTAGAACAGTAAGTAGTAGTGTACTAATCCTTGATAATATCCACTTATTTTTTCTCAGGTTGATAAACTGGTTCAACCAATTGTCACTTCAGTTCGTACCAGAGCAGAGACAGTGAAGGTAACGGTAATGCATGTACATGATATTGTATTTTATTTATTTTATAGAATATGTCTCCTGGACCACCACGCAAATCATTTGATGATTATGACGAAGAAGAAGAAGTAAGATCTCTTTAATATCCCTCTTGTCCATCTCCTTTCTCCGACAGGAGGAAGACGGTCTCGCTATTCTCCTATCACTTTTAGATGAAGTGTTTGACGTCGGGGATCAATGGCTGCAGCGTCAACTCAGTAACCTCCTCAGACAATTATTAGGTTCCCTTCTCTCGGACAAGATGGGACAGAGGATGATGGAAGCTCTGGATAATTATGCATCAGGTGACAATATCGCTGAACTCATTGGACAGATGAGGTCGTCCATGTGGCCCGATGGATATCCGGCCGAAGCTAGGAAACAATTACCTCCAGAAACATTATATTTAATGTCACTTCTTGCAAGGACTAAATTGATAGGCAGCGTTCCTGATGACTTGAAGAGGTTGTTGGGATCCAGCACTACACACAAAGGAATTATAAGGTTAATGGTGAATGATAGTAGTAGTGCTAAATTGTTAGCATGACATGAATTTAAATGCTATCATAATAGTGTATGTACTGCAGTTTGGGCTAATTTGTGCTTGTATTATAACTGATCTTCACTGGCCATCATAACTGTGCACAGAATGTATTTGTATTTTGGTTTATTTTTTATTTTTTAGATTATTTGGAATGTTTCAACACGAGTCTCTTAACCTAAGACTACTTTATAGACTCATGGAAGCGTTTTTGTGTTCACTTTTCCCTGAGAGGGACCTCAGTCAAGGATTTGATACCCTTAGATCACAAATAAGACAAAAATATAAATAATGATACAATAATTTAAATAATTATAATCATTATGTAAATTTTTTAAATTACGATTGAAATGAGCCACTTTTTAGATCTAATACACTGCGAATGTATTTTTTCAGCTCTTAAATAAAATTTGGCAACATTTACCTTTATATTATTTATGTACATTTACTGTTAAGAGATTAATAATGAAATTAATTTGGAAATAAAGAAGCGATAACAATGATCGTACTGGTCTCATTTTATGACTAATCTCTCATTCGTCTCTTTATCATTCTTTCCAAAAGCATGTAGGCTTCATTGATTTCCATGAAACGGTTTTGAGCTTCTTCCTTCTTCTCTGGATCACTGACTTTATCTGGGTGCCACTTCTTTGCTCCTAGCTTGTATGCAGATTTCAAATCTGCTAAACTTATATCATCAATCTCTACGTCTTTGTTAAATCCTAATACTCTGAATGCATTACGAACCTCGGACTTTGCAACATCATCTGAAAACCTATCGAAAACTTGTTCAAAGTCTCCAGTTTCTAAAAATATCCACGTTGAGTCAAGAAGTACTTCTTTTAATTCTGCCCATTTCTCTGAAGCAAAGTAAACTCTAAAGACATGACTGAGTTTAACATTCCCATCCAACTCTTCAACATAAACCTCTGCATTATGATAGAAATAGGAACCCCAGAGACCCAATACTATGAGACCTAGCACAAACCAGAGACCAAAGCGTTGGCATTTAGTCTTTTTAATCTTTTCCTGCCTCTCCCTCCAGCCAACAAGACAAATGGCACATGTGACTGTACACACAAGAATAATGTTTGAATCAGCCCACATAAAATGTGATACACCAAAAAGAGCCTCGCTCACATATGCTCCGATAAGTGGGTACTTGTAAGAGAGGGAAATGTGACTAACATTGGAGACCATATAGGCTCCAAATGCAGTACCAACAGGAGCAACAAATAAAACAATGAGATTGTAGCTAGGGACTGAAGTTGGGACAGCATTAGCAACTATCATCCTGTAGAAGAGAGAGAATATCAACATGGCCAACATCCTGTGCATTTCAGAGAACATTGATGGTCTTCTTGAAAGTTTCAGTGGGTATTTTTCGTTTGCTTCTTCTGTGTATCTTGATAAACTAGAGAAATCTTTCAACCAACCAACGATAAAACCACCACATGATGTAGCCCAGAGAAATCCCTGCTTGTCACGACCCAGGTAGAAATGATGCAGACCCCACCAGCCACCAAATAGCCAAAATAAGAAAGTGGCTAGACAGTACTTTTTCATCTTCTTTACCGCCACGCCACCTCTTTAGTCAGTAGCCACACCTTCGGCTTTGAAACTGAAAAGACACATTGTAATTATTATTTTCCTCTTTCTGTAGGTTTTTGAGAGCTATGAAGGAAGAGAATTACATGGAGTCATTCAAGACTTTTGTTATGGACGGTATTACAAACATACAAGAACTTATGAACAATAGTTTCATGAGTGAGTATAGTTCTGTTGAAATTGGCATTGGGTGTGGGGTAGCTCTCTTATCGTGTCTCCTCCTGTACTGTTGTCTTTGTCGGGCAAGAGGGAGAGATAAAACAAAGAAGGTACGTGTGTTTGGACGAATCAAAGAAGTGACCGTTCATCCAGGGGGAGGGGCCAAAAGGAGGGTAGTTTGGATTGACCCCTTTAGACTAAGTAACGGAGACTTTCAGAGACGGTTTGAAGACGAGTTGACGCAATTCCTGTACTTCTTAGGCTCTGAATGTATCAGCCATGATAAGAAGACTCACATCATCTTCTATGATAATGATGGGAAACGAAACGATAACAAACAATATCAACTTGAATATCACTGGCTCCTTCGTCATTTTGCAGCTAATTCTCGTGAATACGCCCACATACTAATTAAATCCTCATGTAAGCATCAAGAGCTCATTGAGGCGAGGGATCCAGGCTGGAGTGCAAGTGAGGTATTGTACGAATTGAGATCCTCTGGAGTTGGTCAGGTCCACACGTCAACTGATCTACTTGTATCTTGGGCATGTCAGGTTAATGATATCTGTCATGGTCTACGCGACAAGTCGAATAAGAGAATAAGCAGAGGGAACCATTTAGACGAAGCGTTGGAAGGAGAGGCATCAGCCAGGATCAGGGACAGTGTCACTAATGCTATGAGTGATGGTATGACGCTAGCAGAACTTATGAAAGAAGCTATAACACCTTTTCCCAAGGTAACATACACACGTGTACATCCTTAATCTATCTATATGTATATACACATGTAGGTCTTATCAAGAGTATACACTCTTGGTCTTATTAGTTGCAGATTTGCAACTCCATTCATATATTTATTTATTTAATGCTTTAGCCATCACTTAATTTGTGCAGTAGCTGTCACAGCAGTTTGTACATGTTGCAGCATTAGAGGAAATTGATGTTTATTATTATGCTTAGCTTATTGTTATTGTGGGCTCTTACGAAAACATGAAAGCATTTTGATACAAACTTTCTCCTTTTAGGCACTTAGGGATCATTACCACAATCTGTGCTCATTACAAAAAGTCTATTGTGAGGAGTTCATTCCATTTATTGACATCAGTCGCAGCAACAAGAGAAGATTGGGAAAGACAGAAGATCCTGGAGAAACAAGGGACATGATGCAAGAGACACTGGAAGAGATAGTGAGCGAAGGTGGCAATGATATGATGGAGATAATGGCCATGTCAGTTCTGCCAAGATTCAACCGCTACATTGAAGCATGAAGGACAAACTGACCTTGTGTACCATCAATACTGTCATTCAGTGTTTATTGATTAATGAAATAATAATTAGTCAATCACAAAAATTAAAATTGTCCGTAAATTCTTCAATTGTGGGTGGAGGAGGTGGTGCTGTCGTGTTTGGTGAGTATAGTTTCCACTACTGATGGATCAGCTAGGGTGGTAATGTCACCAAGCTCTTCTGTTTCATTTGCTGATATCTTACGAAGGATTCTCCTCATGATCTTACCAGAGCGTGTCTTTGGCAGTCCAGGAGTTATCTGTGAAGAATGAGAAAGAACTATGATGAGTTATGAGCATTTAAAAATTTGAAAAGTTCTCATTTTCAAAGAGTTGCTTTTGTCCCTTACAAGAATGAATTGAGGAGCAGCAAATGAGCCAATTTGTGACTTAACTAGTTGAACAAGATCCTTCTTGATGTCATCTTCATTATCAGTCACACCATCTTTAAGTATAACATAAGCATATATACCTGAAATAATAAACAATGACATTAATGAGTGTGTGTAAAATGAGTAACAGGTAACACTATATAATATATTGTTGGAGGCTTCATGGTTTCATGTGGTTACCTTCTCCAAATATTTCATGAGGGTATCCAACAACTGCTGATTCTGCTACACGTGAATCATGATCCTAATTATTAGAAATTTATCAATCTATTTGTCACTGTTGCATGTATAATATTTATGAATCACATCACACAACACTTTCACTTTAAATTTCTTACTAGTGCACTCTCAATTTCAGCAGTTCCAATTCTGTGCCCTTTCACATTAATGACATCATCAATCCTCCCAGTTATCTTGTAGTGACCATCTTTATCTCTGTATGCACCATCACCAGTGAAATAATAACCTAACATTAATTATAACAATAACAACTGATTTTAAAAGCAAATTGGCCATAAATGAATATTATGCATTGCTTAGTTGAGTGTCTTAAATTTTTGGCTTCTTCTCTTTTCCTATCTTGTACCAATTTTGTATCTCTTTAAGTGGCTCATAACTCTACACATGCATGTACATATAAATTGATATGCCAAGGACACTGGTATATTATTGTTTGTCTCTGCTGGTTATCAATGTTGTTGTTGTTGTTATTATTGTTTATCTCTATTGGTTATTATAATTAGCATTGTTTATGTTTTGTGTGTAGGTTTCTCTACTACACTTGAGCAAAGAGCTGCTCTTTACCATTTTCAATTTCATGAGTTATTTACCAATAGTTCCTTATGGAGCCACACAGTCTAATATTCATGATGGTATTTAGTCAATTATAAAAGGAAGAGAGTCAGTGATGCACCAATAGGTAGAAGTTTTGCTGTTCTTTTCTCTTCATAATGTCTGAGAGTGTTCCTCTATTGAGATCATCATCAGTTACTAGTAGAAGGAGAAAATGTTACCCTTCCTCTTATCGTTTCCAGTTCATACACTCTAAGGGAGCACTACTGGTACTATTCTGGGATGTGATGATTTCAATTGCTCAGAACTTAATTGTAGACATTTTTGGTTACTCTTTCATTCTCAATAATTTCTATTTCTTTGTTGCCCTGGGGGTTAGTCTGGTTTGTATTATTTCTGGCTATGTTGGAGATTTCTTAGTAAGCAGATACAGGCTCATTCTGGTTGGATCATACATTACATTTATTCTATTGATTCCTGTTATAATCATCAGCAAATGTCTACCCTCATATACATACATACAATACCTACTGTTGCCTTTTCATACAATAACACTGATTACTTTAACAGTTGCACGTGTTAATCTGTTACCATTCAATATTGATCAGCTCATTGGATCATCAAGTGGTGAACTAACTGCTATCATACACTGGCATAATATGGGACCTGCTATTAGTAGTTTAATTGCTGATAGAACTAATCTATTTTATATTACACAAACTAATGTGATTGCGATAATCTTTATGCTAACTGCAGTTTGTATCATCTGTGTTGGAGCAGTACTAGTCATTCACAGTCTCTTCAATCATTATCTTGATACTACTCCAGTGAATACAGTTAATCCAGTCAAACTGATAGTTAGAGTATTGTGTTATGCCAGGAAGCACAAGTATCCTGAGAATCGTAGTGCTCTGACCTACTGGGAGGAAGAGGCTCCTTCAAGACTAGACCTGGGTAAGGATAAATATGGTGGACCATTCACTGAGGAAGAGGTAGAAGATGTGAAGACTGTTCTTAGATTAATTCCACTAGTGATTGTCTGTACTGTGGTATCAGGATTATACTATGAATATACTCTGGGACTAAAGCTTGAAGTATATGGGTGCACTAGCCCAGATAAGATTGCCTTATTCCTTTTCGTACCATATATATTAATCATTTTCCTCCATCAGTTTCTCATATACCCGTGTTTTCATAAATACATTCCTAGTATGCTGAAGAGAATAGGAATGGGTCTGGTACTAATAGTTCTTCTTAATATTCTTTACACTGGTCTATCAGTCATTGGTAATTATCATTTTGGACAAATGTTTAACTGTCTCACTTATTTTGATGAAAGCTCATACTCTATTTATCCTCATCAATGGATGCTTTTTAGTAATATCATTATATCAGTTATTTGGTATATCGTGTATATTGTGCTGGTTGAATTTATACTTGCTCAGTGTCCCAAGTCAATGAGAGGAACTATAATAGGATTGTGGTTCTGCATTTGGAATTTAAGAGCCTTCATAGAATACCCTTTATTCCTTCCATTTCTTCATTATGTGAGTCCAGAGGTTCCATTGGGTCGTGGATTTTATTATCTCCTCACAAAGACCATCTTTACTTCAATATGTCTTATCATTTTCTTGTTTCTTGCTAAAAGATACAAGTTACGCGTGAGAGAGGTCGAGATTAACATCCATCATATAGCAGAGAACCACACAATTAACAACATTGAACAAGAAGAGCACCATAGAAGAAACTATGCAATAGAATCCTCAAGCGAATCAACTGATGCCATAATAATAGACTATTAACAACTGATCCTCAGGACAAGACTTGTTACTAAAACTTATAAACTTACATTGTGTGTCTATATTTTCATTTATTGTATATATATATATTGGGTCATTTTTGAAGTATAGTTTGTTTTTTTCAAAATTAATATCAAATTTGATCATATCTCATCCAGGTAACTTCATAAACAATTATGGGTCTGTATTTTGAATCGTAGGATTTAATGCTACACTGCAATAAAGTCTCAATTTTAATAATAACATTGCCAATCGTGTGTTGGAATATAACAGTGCATTCATCTAATTAATGGACTAAATATTAACTTTATAAACAACACTGCTCAATCACTAGGAGGAGCCATATATGCTAGTTGTGGCAATTGCCATAGCTGCATGTACTGACATTTCAGCATTTCAACATGAGCAGTGTTAGTGATACTGATATTAGTTTATAATTATTTTGCTAATAACACTGCCACACTTGCTGGTGATGCTATATATTCATTAAACCTATATAACTGCACTAGAGCAGGAGAACATAATGAATCAACTCGCCAAAATTTTTATTGGAAAATTTAAAAAACTTATCTCCAAAAGATATATCTCTTCAGATGCAGTATCGAATTATTTTTGCAACGATCAAACAAGTTTTAAAGCACAACTAAATCCTGGGGCCTCACTACATATACCATGCAGTTAGTGTTTATGATTACAATGATAGTTTGACTTATGATACTGTCACAGTAATACCTGTTGGAAGTCAGGAAATGCAAAAAGGCCATCATTAATTCATTATCAGAAGATCTAACTCTGTTAGCTTTTTTAAAGAAGAACTATCAGTTGGGGCACTAGACATGTAAACTATGACATCATATACCATCATTGCAGTTAGCTTTGGTATGCCATCAAGTTTATACGGAGAGCCCGGTTCTCAGGATTCCCAAGGGCTGAGAGACCCAAGATTTCACAGATTTTGATGGACTTTGGCGACTAAGAATCTGTGAAAGTTTCATTCTTATCTCACATTCCTATAAAAAGTTATTTCAGTTTTTCTTGTCCCAAACTCAACTGTATAGCATTGTTTATGTTTTGTGAGTAGATCTCTCTACTACACTTGAGCAAAGAGCTGCTCTCTACCATTTTCAATTTCATGAATTATTTACTAATAGTTCCTTATGCAGCCACACAGCCTAATACTCATGATAGTGATTTAGCCAATTATAAAGTGAAGATTTAGTGAGGTAGAAGTTTTGCTGTTCTTAATAATGTCTGAGAGTGTTCCTCTATTGAGACCATCAGTTACTAGTAGAAGGAAATGTTTTCCTTCCTCTTATCGTTTCCAGTTCATTCATTCTAAGGGAGCACTACTGGTACTATTCTGGGATCTGATGATTTCACTTGCTCAGAATTCAATTGTAGACATTTTAAATTTCTCTGTCACTCTCAAGAATTTCTATTTCTTTGTCGCCCTGGGGGTTAGTCTGGTTTTTCTTGCTTTTGGATTTTTTGGAGATTTCTTAGTAAGCAGGTACAGGCTCATTCTGGTTGGATCATACATTTTATTTCTACTATTGGTGCCTCTAATAATCATCAGTACATGTCTACCCTCGTATACATACATAAAATACCTAATATACATAAAATACCTAATATTGGTTTTGTATACATTATCCTTGATTACTTTAACAGTTGTACGTGTTAATCTTTTACCATACAATATTGATCAGCTCATTGGATCATCAAGTGGTGAACTAACTGCTATCATACACTGGCATAATATTGGACCTGTAATTGCTAATGCAATTGCTGATGGAGCTTATCTATTTCATATTACAAAAAATAATATGATAATCTTTATGTTAGTAGCAAGCAGTGTGTGTATTGGAGTAGTACTAGTCAGTCACAGTCTCTTCAATCATTATCTTGATACTACTTCTGTGAATACAGTTAATCCAGTCAAACTGATAGTTAGAGTATTGTGTTATGCCAGGAAGCACAAGTATCCTGAGAATCGTAGTGCTCTGACCTACTGGGAGGAAGAGGCTCCTTCAAGACTAGACCTGGGTAAGGATAAATATGGTGGACCATTCACAGAGGAAGAGGTAGAAGATGTGAAGACTGTTCTTAGATTAATTCCACTAGTGATTGTCTGTACTGTGGCATCAGGATTATGCTATGAATATACTCAAGGACTAAAGCTTGAAGTATATGGGTGCAATAGCCCAAATAGTTATGATTTATCAGTTTGTGTATCATATATATTAATCATTTTCCTCCACCAGTTTCTCATATATCCGTGTTTTCATAATTACATTCCTAGTATGCTGAAGAGAATAGGAATGGGTCTGGTACTAATAGTTCTTATTAATATTCTTTACACTGGTCTAGCAGTCATTGGTAATTATCATTTTGGGCAAATGTTTAACTGTCTCACTTATTTTGATGAAAGCTCATACTCTATTTATCCTCAATGGATAATTTTTAGTAATATCATTATATCAGTTATTTGGTATATCACATATATTGTGCTGGTTGAGTTTATACTTGCTCAGTGTCCCAAGTCAATGAGAGGAACTATGGTAGGATTGTGGTTCTGCATTTGGGCTATAAAAGGCTTCATAGAATACCCTTTGTTCCTTCCATTTCTTCATTATATGAATCCAAAGGTTCCATTGGGTCGTGGGTTTTATTATCTTTTCACAAGGACTATCTTTGCTTTATTATGTTTTATAATTTTCCTACTTCTTGCTAAAAGATACAAGTTACGTGTGAGAGAGGTCCAGATTAACATCCATCAAATAGCAGAGAACCACACCATTAACAATATTGAACAAGAAGAAGAATATTGGAGGAGAAATGCAATAGAATCCTCAAGCCAGCTAACTGATGTCAT